TCCTCTAGTTAATGTGCATCCAGGGGAAGTCCTTTGGGTTGTGCAGAAACAGACATGGCGTACTGATAGGAGCCTTGTTAAACCACAGCGACAAATTATTGACACGGTGTTTGCACTGATAACCCTGCCTGCCACGAGACGTGTATTTCCTCAGTTCTCGTCAGTTCAGCTCAGAACGCGTTCACCTTCAGACAGCGCGTGGGTCTTGGTTCCTTGATTCCGAGAAATCCCCTAGGTGCTCTAGGGGAAACTCACCGTTTTATGTGTCTGGATGAAGTGTCCCGCTGTAGGGGAAACAACAGTCGTATGTAGACTAATCCATCGTGGCCAGCATGTGACGGGATGCACCTGATTTTAAACGTACCAATTTATCCCCAGGTTTCACCTTACTTTGATTTGTCATAAATGACGTTGATTAAAATGACGATTTGTGTTAACAGCACATTTAATTAAAGTGGACATGTGCTGTTATTTTACTGAAATGTGAAAGTTTACATATCGGCATCAGTGTTTAGTTGGTAACATACGACGTACGTGTCCTATAGTGGTTGTGCAATGTATTAAAGTAAGGTATCACCCGTATTGTTCATACGATATTCTCACATTTACCGGTACTCTAAGTCAGTGTTCGATGGAAAAAATAAATTTTTTCTTAATGAGCAAAGTCTTACATTTATGCAAAAAAGCGAAAATGTACGCTTCTACTGATGGTAAAACGACGTTTTTTGTCTTTATATTTTTTTTAAATTCATAAGGTGCTGTTAAAGTTATATGGAAAGTGAAATTGTTATGATTTCTCCGTTTTTCTCCTCTCTCTTGCTCTCTCTCAAATATATCTATAGAAACGTTTTTTTAAGTACTGTTTATATTTCAGACATTTTGTTTCGATAACCTCCACTACTGTCTTGTTATAACAACCATAATGTTATTACGTAATCTCGTTGGTTAAAATTCCACGAACACACATTGCCCGGCCGAGCGTGTGAAAGATGGAACTTAAAGTGCTTTTAGGTGTTAGATTTAAGTGCTTCTCCTTCGTATTTACGTTTCCAGTGTTGCCACTGCATTCTTTTCGATGTTTCATATTTCAAATTTAATTTACTTAGTATTTTATTATGCAAGCGCCTATGATTCAAAGCAGAAAAAATTAGTACAGAAATATGTTCCTATTCACAAAACTGCTGTGTAACACCTGGTAGCTGCAGCTTCTGCCTTGCATACCGAATTCATTTCCCCAGCATGTGATTTCCAAATGTTTAAAGGGAGCTTCCTTTACTTGCTTGATGATTTTGCCCCTGCCACGTTTATCTTTTTACTACTAAATACTCACAGAACCGCAGGAAGTGTGCAACACTTACTTGACTTCGCTGTTTTTTTTACTTTTTCGTTATTTTCATCAGATACGGTAAGCGATTTGGTAACATTATGCCCATGTTGGGAAGCGTAATAGCGTTACTTTGCTCTGCTAAGCTTGCGGTATATGTAATGCAGCGACGTTAGCTGACGGACATCTTGGATTATTAAAATTTCAACGCGCCCTCGCGCACGCGAATCACTATACGCAAAACCGAGCAGCGGGCGGTATCCTCATTCTCTCTTAGGACAGATTATACGTATCCCTTTTAAATTGATCGTTAGTAAATACCTCAGAGGATGGTTTCAGCGCTTGAGGCGGTATCTCTCTCATCGCTTAACCTCTGCTTGGTCGCCGACCGATGAATTCCTCCACCTATCAACGTAATTAACCGGCCCGTTAAACTGGCAATCATGTCTTACGAAATCGCGTATTTGCGTTTCTTTTTATCTCTCTACACCACTTAAAGTTACTGAAGCGAATGGAACAGTTCGCGTTTGGATGCCTGGAGGGGCGACAGCTTTTAAATGTAGACGTATTTATTTAATGTAGCCCTACCAAAGATCAGGAAATATTATTATCCGATTCGTTTGAGTATATAACGCGAAAAAGATAAACCGTGCATTAAAATATTCGTTTTCTCCCTCAGAAAAAATACTCATAGATTCCAGCCGGCTACTGTATGAACGTATTCCTTCTCATACAACAGGAATTACGGGGCATGTTTTTAACTTTATTGATGAAAAACAAATAGCCCTACACACAAAATTACAATTTTTATGTATATTATATATACGAGACATGTGGCCGTATACAATACACGCTTACACTTATATAATCATCTTACTGCCATGAAGAAAATATAAAAAAAAACTTGAAAACAGATCCAGTAAGATTATTTTGCTCAATAAAGAAGGGTTTTCATACATTTTATCCCTGAACACTGCACATGTTGGCAGAGTCACCTCTGGGGCTGTAATAGCTCGGAGGAGTGAAGCGTTGATTTCTTACACTAGTTACTGGTGTCTTTGATTATTTACTTTGGCATGTCCTTTTTTTTTCTTTATACATAAAACCTGCTCAAATTTGTAATTAGAACCCAAAGACACGGGCTGATAACGGCTTATTTTCTTAGTTTTAAGCCAACGCATTTTCTGAAACCCTCCAAAAAAGAAAGTTTTGGTAAGTTTTATCGCATTTGTTGCACCTGTGGCTTCACGGGGTAGTGAATGCATACGCCCTAGTTGCTTGTTGCTCACCTTTTTTTAAAACCGCTTCTTCTTGTTGCAGGTGAAGCGAACGGCGTAAAAGAAGAGGCTGTGAGTTGTTTTATGATACACAATATTGAGCGATAACAGTGTAGCAAAGACGGTCCAAAAGGAAAAACAGAACCTTCTTCAAGTTTTGCAAGCGTTNGTGTGTGTGTGTGTTTGTATGTGTGTGTGTGTCCCTCAATGACCCTCGCAATGACGTCGTGCGTTCACAGCAATTCCTTAAAAATCCCCCTCGTCACCTCTATTAATAATACCTGCAGCTGAGTCGCCAATGTGAAGGTCGTTTCCAGCTGGTAAGTTAACGTGATATTTTATCAAATTTTGACATCAGTATCAACAGGTGACATACAACTAGTCGTACGTAACTGAGATGTAGTAGGGTTGTTAACATTTCGGTAAAAAACTGCGAATGACAACATGTAAATTGCAGTGTTTGCGCGTAAAGAGCGAGCTGGGGAATTTGACGTTTCGGTTTCGGTTTGTACCTGAATGTGTTGTTACGCTAAAAAAATAAAAATCCAGTTTAAAATGATTTGAATGGTTATTTGCACTGATAGGAATGATGTGTGTGTGTGTGTGTGTGTGTGTGTGTGTGTGTGTGTGCGTTTGTGTAGTCTCTCCTCCCACTTCTCATTGTGAAGTCATGTAAACGCTAGCGCTAAGGTGTATAGCTATAGGGTCACTAGTGATTGATTCAAACATGGAGCGGATGACGAGCAATTGACGAATTGAAAAGACAAAGGGATGTTTTGTATATTTACACAAAGTCAGCTTGATCGGGCTATTCTTCAAAATGTTTTGCTTTCTTCAAGATAGAAAATATGTTTTACTTTGATTCGCTTGGCAAACACAGCAGACGAAGCAACTTTTATTATTATGTATAGGACATAAAAATAGAGTTTCATTTGTTATTCTCTGATTATACCGCTTGTTAAAAAAATATTCGTAGGGAAGTAGAAACGGGAAAGGGTTTTTATACAAGTTGTACCCCAGTATGTACAAGTAGGTCACACGGAACCCGTTGTGCCTCCCCCCCCCCCCCCTCAACTACGTACGCCATTGTCTCGTTATCTTGAATTGAGTATGGGGGGGGGGGGGGGGGCTATGAACAGATTGAGTATAACAATTTGCACCTGACTCAATCAGATTTGTCTCTTTTATATAATTGATCTTGTTTGATTGACCAAAAACTTACTGCACTTGTTGAGACAAACACATCAACAGCAATTAAGGGGAATTCCCATGAAAATATCCCCCTCGTCACCTCTAATTATAGAAAGTCGCCATTTGCATGGGCTGTTTCCAACTAGTAAGTTAACCCAATTTTTCTTAAAATGTGATTTATCTACCAAATAGATATAAACGACTGACATATACCTCGTTGCCACTGGGGTGACGAATTAATGTTAATATTTTGGTACAATGTTCCTTCCTCCGTTATGACAAAATTGATGAAATTGTTTGTCAGTTAGGATCTCTTTAGACCTGATGCGTTTAACGTGACAATTTCCAAAATCCCCAAGTCTAAGGAATCATTTGACAAGAATGATTTAAAGATAACACCACTAGGACATTTAAGCTGCACGGAACATTTCTTCGGTGGTGTGCGTCTGTGTGGGTGTGTGTGTATGTGGGGGGGGGGGGGGGGTTCACGCCAGCTAGAAGCCGGATTGAGACCGCAGATGGATGTGATCATGTAAAAGCCTTTGTACATTTTGAATATTTTATGTTACGGTGGCGTCTCTGTGCCAAGCTGCTTCTTTTGTTTTATCATTCGTGGGTCTTTACATATTAGGTAAGTTCATATTGTACATTTCATCTTTTTATATATTTCAACTTATGATGCTTATTTATATTATTTCAGACGAGTGAAATTTAGACATACGTTGTCCTCTTCGTTGGAATGTGTACAGTATAGCCGCCAGCCAGTATGGATGACCTTCACTGGGCTGCACGGGATGGAGATACAGTGAGGTTACAGCATCTGCTGACTGCCGGGCAGTGCGACATCAATGACCAGGGAATGGTAACAACTTTGATTTCTCTCTATTTAGATACGCCGTTGTCGATCTAAACGATTTATTTAATGCAGACGACCCATGCCATAGACTGAATCATCCACTGCATAATTTCACTTTCCATTCCCTCTTTCCGCTACACAAGGTTTTCTATGTGATAGGCTAGGCATATACCAATGTAAACAATATAATATGTTCAACAAGAATCCCATACATGTAACAGATTTTTTAACAATTACCAAGTGCAAATATGAAATAAAATTTTTAAGTTAAGCCATTACATCAAAACCCGATACTTTTTTCTACTGCACTTGGAATATATGTATAATCGCATTGTTTGTACATATCCACAGGATGAGAGGACACCACTTCACTGGGCTGCAGATCACGGCCACACACAATGTGTCCAGCTTCTCCTCCAACACGGGGCGGATGCCAATATACAGGATACGGTGAGTGTAGAATAGTCAGAACACTGCAGTATGGCTACATTTACGTACATCGTCATTTTTCCTTAAGTTGTGAGAAGAAACATTATTGTGGTTTACATTCTCTCGGCCAAGGCTTTTTTCTCATTTATGAATAAATCAACATAAATCACATTGTAAATTAGAACACGGCATAATGTTTTCAGTAGTTCAACTAGTTAAGTATTATTACGTGTGAAGTGTGATGTTAAATATAGAAGTACAAACAAATTTATTTCATTTAATATCCATTATTTCTTTCAATATTTTACATAGAATTGACAACTTGAAATGATGATTCTATTAATCCACTGCATCACTGAGCTGTTAATACAGACCCAATACAGAGGCCAAATTTAATATTAACACAGCACCGATCATTTTGTTCAGTTAACCCATATCATCAAAACCCGATACTTTTTTCTACTGCACTTGAAATATATATATGTGTTTAATCACAATGTTTGTACATATCCACAGGGTGGGATGACACCACTTCACTGTGCTGCAGATCACGGCCACACACAATGTGTCCAGCTTCTCCTCCAACACGGGGCGGATACCAATATACAGGATAGGGTGAGTGTAGAATAGTCAGAACACAGCAGTATGGCAACATTTACGTACATCTTCCTTTTTCCTTAAAGGGNACCCCTATTTTGGGCACTGCTCCTATGCTGACCATTTAAGGGAAATCATGTGACTTACTGTTCTCAAACTTACAGGAAAGAAACATGGGTCTAACATACAGCTTCAATAGGTAACGCAGTCTGTTTGGTAAATTTTTCGGGCAATTTAACAGTTTTTTGTGAAAATTTAATTTTTCACTTATTTTCATCTTTATTTTCTGTTCTTTGTCTGTACATTTGACAGCTTTGCTGCCTTGTTTTTAGTTAAGCCTTATCATCAAACCCAACACTTTTTTACGGTACTTGAAATATATGTGTTTAATCACATTGTTTGTTCATATCCACAGAATAAGAAGACACCACTTCACTGGGCTGCAGAGTGCGGCCACACACAATGTGTCCAGTTTCTCTTCCAACACGGGGCGGATACCAGTATACAGGATAAGGTGATTGTAGAGTAGTCAGAACACAGCAGTATGGCTACATTTACGTAAAACGTCATTTTTCCTTAAGTTGTGAGAAGAAACATTATTGTGGTTTACATTCTCTTGGCCAAGTCTTTTTCTCATTTATGAATAAATCAACATATACTGTAGCACATTGTAAAATAGAACACGGCATAATGCTTTCAGTAGTGCAATTAGTTAAGTATAATTAAGTTTGAAGTGTGATGTTAGATATAGAAGTACAAACAAAGTTATTTCATTAAATATCCATTATTTCTTTCAATATTTTACAAAGAATTGACAAATCGAAGTGATGATTTAATTAATCCACTCCATCACTGAGCTGTTATCACAGGCCCAATTAATGCAGGGGCCACATTTAATATTAACACAGCACCTATCAATTTTTTTAGTTAAGGTTTGTCATCAAACCCAATACTTATTTCTACGATACTTGAAATAGATGTGTTTAATCACATTGTTTGCACTTATCCACAGGATAGGAGGACACCACTTCACTGGGCTGCCGGTAACGGCCGCACACAATGTGTCCAGCTTATCCTCGAACACGGGGCCGATGCCAGTCTACAGGATGAGGTGAGTGTAGAATAGTCAGAACACAGCAGAATGGCCACATTTACATACAGTTAAATTTTTCTTGCAGTCGCGGGAAGAAACATTTTGTGTTTTACATGACCGAGTCTTTTCTTATAAACTAATAAATCAACATTAAGTAGAACACGACATAATTTTAACAGAAGCGCAATTATATATATATAATTTTTTTTTAAGCGTGGTGATGTCAAATACAGAATTACAAGTAAAGTTTTATAAAATTAGATATTCACTGTTTCTTTCAATATTTTACATAGAATTGACATTTTGAAATGATAAATTTATTAATCCACGGTACCACTGGGTTATTAATGCAGCCCCTTTACAGAAGCCAAATTTTATATGAACACGGCACCGATCAATTTTTTCAGTTAAGTCTTATCATCAAACCCAAAACATTTTTTACTGCACTTGAAATATATGTGTTTAATCACATTGTTTGTACATATCCACAGTGGGGGATTACACCACTTCACTGGGCTGCAGGTCAAGGCCACACACAATGTGTCCAGTTTCTCCTCCAACACGGGGCGGATACCAGTATACAGGATATGGTGAGTGTAGAATAGTCAGAACACAGCTGTATGGCAACATTAACTTATATCATAATTTTTCCATACGTTGTGAGAAGAAACATTATTGTGGTTTACATTCTCTTGGCCAAGTCTTTTTCTCATTTATGAATAAATCAACATATACTGTAGCACATTGTAAAATAGAACACGGCATAATGCTTTCAGTAGTTCAATTAGTTAAGTATAATTAAGTTTGAAGTGTGATGTTAGATATAGAAGTACAAACAAAGTTATTTCATTAAATATCCATTATTTCTTTCAATATTTTACAAAGAATTGACAAATCGAAGTGATGATTTAATTAATCCACTCCATCACTGAGCTGTTATCACAGGCCCAATTAATGCAGGGGCCACATTTAATATTAACACAGCACCTATCAATTTTTTTAGTTAAGGTTTGTCATCAAACCCAATACTTATTTCTACGATACTTGAAATAGATGTGTTTAATCACATTGTTTGCACTTATCCACAGGATAGGAGGACACCACTTCACTGGGCTGCCGGTAACGGCCGCACACAATGTGTCCAGCTTATCCTCGAACACAGGGCCGATGCCAGTCTACAGGATGAGGTGAAATATAGCTTTTACCATGGTTGAAATAATTTCTAGAGCATAGAACATGTGCCTCAGTTGCGAAAATTGGTAAAATAATGGCAGCCATCTTGGATAAAGAAGCCATATTGAAAAAAAGATATGGTCTTAGCTTTACCTTTAAAAATAAACAATTGTCCTTTATCAATAAATTGCAAAGGAAACATGAAATATACTTTATTTAAGAAGATATTTGATCTTGCAAATAAGGTGCATGCCGTGGGCACCTTTAGGCCATAACAGTCGGGGTACATGGATTTTCTTCTAATCATTAAGCTTTATACTGTACAGAGAGAGAAAAATACAGGTCATACTGTACATATTTTATATTTGATTTTGTGTTGATTCTATCATGATTGAAAGTAATTCTAGATTAAATAAAACATGAATTAACTGCAAAAATTGGCAAAATTTTGGCCGCCATCTTGAATAAGGCAGCCATCTTGGGTCAAGACACCATCTCAAATTTACCTTTAAAATTTAAAACAATTGTCCTATACCTGCATATTGTAAAATAAAAATAAAATAAACTTCATTTAATAAGGTATTTCAACTTTCAAAAAGATATACATTGTGCTTCTGACTCATAATGGTGAGGGGCATGTGGCGGCCATATTGGATTTTTCTCTTAATCAAAAAGCCTCCATAGTGCATGCAGACAACAGAAATGTGTGAAATATTATAGAAAAGCTATATTTGATGACAGTTTGCTTATATCACGATTAAAAGAAATTCTAGATTGAAGAAAACATGACTTAATTGAAAAAATTAGTGAAATATTGTCCGCCATCTTGGATGAAGCGGCCATTTTGAATCCAATTGACAAATTATTTCAACAGACTCCCAGGAAGTACATATTTCCACAATATATACACAATATAAGTAATCTACACTTCAGCAAAGAAATATTATTAATCACTTTTCATAATTGATGACTATTCTGTGTATTCACCATGGCTGGCGGCCATCTTGGATTTTTGGGCACTTTCGCAATTGAGCCCATTTGTCCAATAAGCAGATTCATAAACCCCAGGTATCAGGCTCTCCAACGATATGTTCGAAAATTTTATATCATTAAATTTTTTTACTACCCTTTTTTGAAGGCTTTTGGAGTTTGGCTCCCCTACTAGTAGAACACGACATAATTTTAACAGAAGCGCAATTATATAGATATAATTTTTTTGAAGCGTGGTGATGTCAAATACATACAAGTAAAGTTTTATGAAATTAAATATTCACTGTTTCTTTCAATATTTTACATAGAATTGACATTTTGAAATGATAAATTTATTAATCCACGGTACCACTGGGTTATTAATGCAGCCCCTTTACAGAAGCCAAATTTTATATGAACACGGCACCGATCAATTTTTTCAGTTAAGTCTTATCATCAAACCCAAAACATTTTTTACTGCACTTGAAATATATGTGTTTAATCACATTGTTTGTACATATCCACAGTGGGGGATTACACCACTTCACTGGACTGCAGGTCACGGCCACACACAATGTGTCCAGTTTCTCCTCCAACACGGGGCGGATACCAGTATACAGGATATGGTGAGTGTAGAATAGTCAGAACACAGCTGTATGGCAACATTAACGTATATCATAATTTTTCCATACGTTGTGAGAAGAAACATTATTGTGGTTTACATTCCCTTGAACAAGCCTTTTCTGATTTATGAATAAATCAACATAAAGCACATTGTAAAATAGAACGCGGCATAATTTTTTCCGCAGTGCAATTAGTTAAGTATAATTACGTTTGAAGTGTGATGTTAAATATTGAAGTACAAACAAAGTTATTTTACTAAATATCCATTATTTATTTCAATATTTTACATAGAATTGACAACTTGAAATGATGGTTTTATTAATCCACTGCATCACTGAGCTGGTAATACAGGCCCAATACAGAGGCCAAATTTATTATAAAAAAAGCACCGATTATTATTTTTTTTTAGTTTAGCTTTGTCATCAAAACCAATACTTGTTTCTACAGCACTTGAAATATATGTGTTTTATCGCATTGTTTGTACATATCCACAGGCTGAGAGGACACCACTTTACTGGGCTGCATGTCACGGCCACACACAATGTGTCCAGTTTCTCCTCCAACACGGGGCGGATACCAGTATACAGGATATGGTGAGTGTAGAATAGTCAGAACACAGCAGTATGGCTACATTTACGTACATCTTCATTTTTCCTTAAGCTGTGACAAGAAACATTATTGTGGTATACATTCTCTTGACCAAGTCTTTTCTCATTTATGAATAAATCAACATAAAGCACATTGTAAAATAGAACACGGCATAATGTTTTCAGTAGTGCAATTAGTTAAGTATAATTACGTTTGAAGTGTGATGTTAAATATAGAAGCACAAACAAAGTTATTTGATTAAATATCCATTATTTCTTTCAATATTTTTCATAGAAGTGACAAATTGAAATGATAGTATTAATCCACTGCATCACTGAGCTGTTAATACAGGCCCAATACAAAGTCCAAATTTAATATTAACACAGCACCTATCAATTTTTTCAGTTAAGTCTTATCATCAAACCCAATACATTTTTTACTGCACTTGAAATATATATTTTTAATCACATTGTTTGCACTTATCCACAGGGGGAGAGGACACCACTTCACTTGGCTGCAGAACATGGCCACACACAATGTGTCCAGCTTATCCTCGAACACGGGGCCGATGCCAGTCTACAGGATGAGGTGAGTGTAGAATAGTCAGAACACAGCAGTATGGCCACATTTACATACAGTTAAATTTTTTCCTGAAGTCGTGGGAAGAAACATTTTGTGTTTTACATGACCAAGTCTTTTCTTGTAAACTAATAAATCAACATTAAGTAGAACACGACATAATTTTAACAGAAGCGCAATTATATAGATATAATTTTTTTGAAGCGTGGTGATGTCAAATACAGAATTACAAGTAAAGTTTTATGAAATTAAATATTCACTGTTTCTTTCAATATTTTACATAGAATTGACATTTTGAAATGATAAATTTATTCATCCACTGTACCACTGGGTTATTAATGCAGCCCCTTTACAGAAGCCAAATTTTATATGAACACGGCACCGATCAATTTTTTCAGTTAAGTCTTATCATCAAACCCAATACATTTTTTACTGCACTTGAAATATATATTTTTAATCACATTGTTTGCACTTATCCACAGGAGGAGAGGACACCACTTCACTTGGCTGCAGAACATGGCCACACACAATGTGTCCAGCTTCTCCTCCAACACGGGGCGGATACCAGTATACAGGATAGGGTGAGTGTAGAATAGTCAGAACACAGCAGTATGACAACATTTACGTACATCTTCATTTTTCCTTAAGCTGTGACAAGAAACATTATTGTGGTTTACATTCTCTTGACCAAGTCTTTTCTCATTTATGAATAAATGAACATAAAGCACATTGTAAAATAGAACACGGCATAATGTTTTCAGTAGTGCAATTAGTTACATGTAAGTATAATTTCGCTTAAATCGTGGTTTTGAATATAGAAGTAGAAACAAAGTTATTTGATTAAATATCTATTATTTTGTTCAATATTTTACATATAAATGACAAATTGAAATGATAATTTTATTTATCCCCTGTAACACTGGGCTAGCTGTTAATACAGTTCTGTAAAGAAGCCAAACCTACCTGTAACATTAACTCGGAACCGATCAGTTTTTTAAATTATATAACAAATGTAACTAATGTAAATATCATCACACTTTCAAGAATATAACACGTAACACGCCCAATTTAAGAAACTAATGAAATCAATGAAAGTATAAAAAAGGAATATTTAATGTTTCTGATTAATATTTTATATTATTTGAAATGTTTAATAATTAAAATATCCAAAATGCATGTGTATGATCATTTTATCCGCTTCGTGTTCCTTTACTCTTTATAACATTTGTTCTTGGGAATATTTTTCCTCTTGGGAAAACGTTTGTTTAGTTGTAACGTTGTAAAATAAATGAAATACACTTTCACTAATTGCAAGTTATAATTGAAGAATAATCAAATGAGTAAAAGGAAAGGGAATTATTGTGTGCAAGTTAAATTTCTTTAACAGTCAACAAGTGTAGAAATTGTTTTCGCAGTCGAAAGAGATGGAACATGTCAGTCACATAGCCCGATTTGATTGGTTACTTTATTTTAATTTTTTTCAGTTAAGCATTATTATCAAACCCGATACTTTTTTACTGCATTTGAAATATATGTTTTATCATATACTTTGTACATTTCCACAGTTTTTCATGAGGACGCCACTTCACTGCGCTGCCAGTAGAGGCCACACACAATGTGTCCAGCTTCTCCTCCAACACGGGGCGGATAGCAGTAATCAGGATAGGGTGAGTGTAGAATTGTCGAAATATATATTATAACGTGGCTCCGCTTTATTTTCTCGAGTCACATAAAACAATTAGTTCTTTATCGCATTATTCTTTAGTCTGTAGTTCATTACTTGTATTGATGTACGTGAAAAAGCATTTCATGTTAAAGTATTTTAGCAACATACTGTAAGTCATGCATATGTATTTAATCTGAATGGTATGTATGTGAGATAACACATTGTCATCCTAGTAATATATGCCAGAACACCTCATTAAGGTCGCAGCATATTATGTGACATTGAGAGAAAGACCTGGCATTTCACACTGAAACACACTTTAGGGCAAATAAGCAGTATATTGCCATGGTCACATACCATAACATCTCTAGGTATGTACAAGGATGGTGTATCTTTAAAATTAGGGGAGTGCTGGAAAACACTTTTCATCGGTCTGTATAAAGCGGTTTCTATTTCGTCCCCTATAGTTCATAATAATTTCTTTATATATATCGCAGGGAAAAAAGACACCAAGAATGTTGGCAGAAGAAAAAGAGCGCACTGCCATAGTTGAACTGCTGAGGCGTTTTGAAATACCAGACATACAGGTATATGTACCAGTAAGAAAGTGTTAAACGCATATTGGATTATGATGCATTGAGCTTTAATAGTAAAAATATATTTCATATTCAGAATCATTTTAGTAACTAATTTGTAGGCCTACCGTGTATATAATTTTATTAGTGTTTTTGAACGTTACGTGTTCCATTCCTTGAAAGATATATCATGGGGACATTTGATACATGAATTAATATAAAAGGAATGTATTATATCTTATGCAGAGTCCCAGAATACAGAACGTTGGGAGCTTAATTTAATGGCATAACCGCAAGTGTCTTCATATATGTTGCATACATGTAGCTATTTTGCCTTATACTAGTTTCTGAAAAAAATAAACCTTGTTTATTCTTTACAGGTGCACATTCAAACCAGGACTTTGGAACACCTTGCTGAAATATTAGACCCTGAAGAATATAGCAGATTTAACCTGACCAACTTAAACCCGAAGTGTCCTGACATTTTTCAATTCCAAAAAATTCAAGGAGTAAAAGATTGGATTGCCAAGAACAATCGTACCACTATTAAAGATATAAGGGATGGCCTATTGGCTGCTAACCTTCCGCGACTGTCCAGTAAGTAATCAACGTATGTTCACCTATAATTTCGATGCATTAAATAATTTTATCTTATTCCATAACCTCGATGCAACACAAACCGAACTTAAAGATTGGAGGTAAAAAAAAGATGAGGGTAAAACATAGCAACAAATGTAAACATCTACATGCATGGATGTGTGACTGTAACAAGGGAGTTTTTTTTCCTTATTTACTTTTGCTTTGTATTTTTCGTGTCCTAATGAAATGTAAATTTTATTTGGCCAAGATATTTCTACAAAGATGGCAGAAACTAATGTCAAATGCCTTTATATTTACTTGCGTATGACTCCTTGATAGACGCTGTTGTCTTATACACTAAAACCACTAATACCGTGTCCACAATTTGTTCATTAACTGACTGAATATAAAAAACACATCGGACGCGATTTCTACATTTGTCACTGTACTTAAGATCTACTTAACTTTTTACTGATACAGGTGCAGTAGCACAGTATTATGCTGAGATGGTGACGAACATTTCAAACATGTCCCCCGATGAATTTGAGTCACTCTGTAGAACCCTGACCACTGCGAAGTCCATGTGCCAGAACACACCAAGTTCATCAACCCGTGGTCTGGACGATACTAGGTGAGTGTATATTTAGTCATGGTCCAAGGTGATGGAATACATGTTCCGAAGTTTTTACTGCAATTAATTGTTACTGCAATTAATGGGAATTGCTAGCATTTATATAGGCATGAATGCATTTAAACAACATACTTAAGAATTCAGGAGACTCTACCCAAACGTCTGTGACCTTTATTTGCATACATGTGCACGTACAGGTAAGGTACATCACTCACTTGTGTTTATGTACATGCAAGTTGACAATCACGATGTGTTTCACATTCGCAGTTTGCCTTTGGACCCATACCGCCACGATGTATTCATTGCATACAGCGGTGAGGATGAAGCCACCATAGAACCAGTTCTGCACCAACTAAAGGAATGTGGAATCGAGTGTTTTTACGCCAAAGAAGACCTTGCACTTGGAACCTATGTGATTACTTCCATTATTGAGGCGGTCAATTCATCTAGGCATACCATCGTGTTCCTGTCCAAGAGTTTTATCCAGAGTGATTGGTGTCAGTTGGAGTTGCAGTATATCATACAGAATGCTAGAAAGTCTAAAGGGCATGTCGTCATTCCTGTTGTAATGAACATGGCGCCTGAGGAAATCCCTGGGGAATTAAGCATTTGGAAATATATTCTTTTCGACGATGAAGAGCTCATTCCGATGTTTTTGGAAGCTATAAAAGGTATCTTGTTAATCAATTTAGCTTTTTCTTTTGTTGGAATGGTCTATTTTTTAAAACCTCAGGGGCTAGGTGACCATAATGTATCTATCTTGACACTTTAAAAGGAAGAAGCGTGTTAACATTTTGTGATATTGTTTCTTTTTTAAACAGGACCAAGAGACACTCCGACGTATGGTCAACTTCGACACGAGAACGAGGTTTTGCGAGACGAGAACGCTGATTTACGAGAAAAGAACGAGATTTTGCGAGATGAGAATGAAGTTTTACGAGACGAGGTCCGGCATTTGACAACTAAACTTCGCCCACAAATCCGATAAGTGGATGTCAGTCAATGTGACGTGATTTTTTTTGTAATTGAGTCGTATACGTCTCAAATAATCTTAAGATTACACCAGGGTCTGGCATACTTAATTGTTTATTGCTTGTTTTATTAATTGAATTCATTGCCCAATCATCTTGTGAAACTGCTCGGGTGGTGTAGTCTTCTTGTGGATTGTGTTTTTATTTCAATGCGAGGCCTACTGATCTTGTTTATCTACTTATAACTTTCTCATACTCCACGTAACACGTGTCACACCGTATTGTGCATTAATTCTTATTTTTATTCTAAATTTTAGCCACTCAACCAATGATACATGTTTGATTATAGATTACTTTTTTACCAGAAAACGGGTTTATTAGGTATAGATGTCAATTCTCTTAACAATTTAAATCAGGAATGGAGCAATTGTTAAAATCATCAGGAAATATTGGTTCCCTCTCTTTATAAAGGTCTAACACCCAAAAAGTGACAGTGTCGAACTTTTGTGAACTAGATGTACTGGGACCACTCTGGGTTAAATGTACAAATGCATGATGTAAATCGTTTAATAATAGGATACAATAAGTGATCAATACAGGCCTTAGATGCTTTATATATACACTGTATATACACATGTAAGGATTCCTTGGGATTTTAATATGTCGAGCAAACACAAAATGTTTAATATCATTCCCAGAACGTTCTCATGATTTTTTTTCTCTTTTTTATTTATTTTTTATAAAAACTTTATAAAACGTTCTGTGTTGTCTGAGAAGCTTCAATGTAATAAATATGTTGCCATTTTGACCAGGTTCACCACAGGCTTTGTCAATTTAACCTGAACTATTAGACTACACATTTATTATGCTGTAAATTCTACGCTTAATGCTTAAATATCAACAAGGGTTTTGTTTGTGATATACGTAATAATGCTTAGTGTAGGAGTAGAACTTCCACTGATTCTGCTGGGTATCATAGCTGTAATTTCATAAAGTGAAATTTAATTTATTTATTTATTTATTATTTGCCGTACGTTTCCATACCACTGTATACTGGGTATTGAATGTAGAAAGCAAATATCTGTTTTCTCGTTTGTTTCTGTTCAGTTTTGTTGTCGGTGACAAAAATTCATATTATGTAATTGTTTTCCAAAAAGGTTTATGGTTTCAAAAGTTGTGCACTTACTGACTAGTAGAAAAAGCAATGTATTTTTATATATCTTTCTTATATATACAGGTAATGCATATGTCCTGCTTTTTAAGGATACGATTCATATGCTATAAACCATTCCTTTTTTTAATCGTATATGTGTTATTTATCTTAATGTGAAATGCTATAGATTTGCAATATAGTACGTTATGACTCTTTAAACATCATGGTTCCAAACCATAAATGTGTTTAATCGCGTAAGTTCTTTTTTATCTTTATGAGATAAATATCTTTATAAGCTTTAGAGTTACCATCTTTACTGTATAGTATGTCATATCACTTAATATATCATGTTTCCAAACCATAACTTAAAATCCTTTTTAGTGGGTTTGTGAAAAGTGCGATTTCTACTAATGTACTGGTACATGCAATATACGTGCATGTATGTTATCACCCCGTATCTCAAATTCCACAATGGTATATCCTAAATTACAACTTGAAACCATGGTCTATTATGTGCTTTATGTAGTCCAAGTTAGTAATTAAGTTGGTTGCGTTATATATATTGTTGTTGCTTTTGCTTCTTAGTGCTGAAATAAAACGAATCAGAAAAATGCTTACAATGTTTGAATTTTTAATGGAAGTTAAGTTTAAATGTGGTTTGATAACCGTCAGACACAGTCAAATCACACTGCTTTTTAAGTATACATAATATCTAATAAGGGTAAACTATTGGAACTTGAGATCAGATATATTTTATGAGAAAACGACTGATACAGGTTATGAAATGCTTGCATACATCGTGAAAACAAGCGCTAATTACAGAGATGAAAGTTACGCGAATAAATGTCGTCTATCTTTGACTTCATTTTATACCTGTGGGGAATAATAATAATATCTTCTGGCAGTAAACATCTTTGGAATATTACTGATTCACAATCAAAGATCACTTCATGGACAGACGTATAAACGGACGGCAGTGCAAACGAAAAAAATATGTATATTAAAGTTATTATCGTGTAAAGTGACCGTTTATCTTTCACCAAAGCATTTAAATAATTTTTTCATTTCAAACACCAGATATATACGCTAATCTAGAATACGTGGGCTTTGGATTTACTTCCTAAGGAAACGTCACCTGAAGGTGAAAATCCATCTTGCTGTAGGCAGCCGGTACGTAGCTCAGCATACGAGCCTTCGTGTGAGCCGGTCGTGTGATATGGGCAGTAGCTGCCACCTTGCGGTTGTTCCTTATCTGACCTTAACCGGTGTATCCAGTACTATAGGATAATCTGAAATACAACCATCTGAACCAATAACTGTAAGAGATTATATGAGATCAGTAAATACATGTATATTAGTGGGGGGTGCTGGGATAAACGCCTGCATTGATACAGAGGATAGGTCGACATGTTATAAGTAGAGGACAGCGTGCCTGTAGTAGGACCTCGGGGTATTGGCTTGGACCCTGTATGCTTCGATGCTAAGTCAGAACTAAATTTCTGCGACAGATTACTTTAATGGGGGATCACTTCCACGTATAGAGGCCGACTATTGTGCACAAGGAATTTGAAGTTTTGCAGAAAAAAGTAATAGCGATGTTTACATGTAGTTCATAAAGTGTCACAGCTCAGTTGTTATAATTAATATACAGAATGAAAATGAAATTTCCCTACTGATCACTTACATACGGTAGATATGGTATGAGGCCCCATGGCTGGACCAAAGTGCCAATTACCAATAGTTTAAATCTCTGATGGAGTCAGTGGGAAATAGTAAAACTGTCAGCTAGGCTCAAACCATCTGGTACTGTATGTGAGTGTCAGGTGTGGGATTCACTTTTTGCTTACCATTGATTGAGTTCTAAACCTGTCCACAGTAAACATGGTAGCGATTAATGTAAAAATGTTTATCTCTCCAGTACAATTTTGACAGCTTGACTTACTGTTATTGTGGAAAAATAAAATAAAAATGAATGTTTTCCTTTATTTTTGTGCTTTAGCTCACAATTCAGGATTACTAAAATAACTATCTATCTGTCCAGGTCTAAAGTCAAACAAGTTTTACTCTCAGAGTTCTGGTAGTACACCACTACTATTTGTTGTACTAGTACACCCGTGCCAGAGCATGCTGAAGGAGACCAGGAGTAAGCTGTACTGTACCGGTGGAGTGGTGCTGGTCTTGCTGCTGTGTGTGGTGGTGGCTCTCATCGTGAACTTTAGCCTCGACAAGCCACTGACACCCACCTGGTCGCAGTCGTCCGCCATGGTGGCGTGTGTGCCGCGTGGTGGCACGGTGAAACAGTGTGAAGAGTTGGGGTAAGTTTGAGGTCCGCCTCTCTCTCTCTCTCTCTCTCTCTCTCTCTCTAAATAGTCGTGAGACGGCACAGCGTGGTTGTGCGTGCGGTTACTTTTATACAGTAGTACGAGTCTCTCTCTGTAAGTGCATATATGAGAACGGCTAGAAGTTAGGTAATGTACATGCATCTAAAAACACGCATTAACTGCGCAGTGATGTCTTTTCATATCTATAGTACCTGAAAATATACCACGTCGTTAATACAACATCTTGAGTACAGTATAAAATACTTTATTGTAGCACAATCCAACAGAAATCTAAACCAATCTTTTATTCCAGCTGCATTTGGAGGCCTATATCTGATGACTCCCCCAACTGTTGGTTTCCCGAGGACTCTTCTCAAAATGGGTATGGATACGAGATAAAAGGGGACATCCAGGTACATTTAGCACCGCTGCGTTCAGTGATTATTGCATACCTTTGTTATCATAATCCGGGTTCAATACATACAGTATCAAATTTTCGGAGGGGTGTCTACTTTATATACAGGGGGGTTAAAGTATTTATCTCGCTACTGTGTTTACTGGTATTCAAAGTAAATAGTGTGGATGATATGACTCCTTATGTTGGAAGTTGAGAGTGCACTGTACAGTAAAATTACAAGAGGACCGTATGCTGGGCAAGAAGGCTGCTAAGGCTTTTTTTTTTAAATAAATTAAAGTGATCTCTATAAGGTGTTACCTTTTTCCTTTCTCACACTCCATCAAAGGTTATTTCTCTTCTTGCTATCGGACACTGTTTGAGTACCCCAGTAAGTACATAATGCCTGTCTGCACGGTCCGTTATTGTGGGTACTCAGCACTCCCCAAACATTTGCCTCAGCCTAAGACCCTGTGCCTTCGACGGGAAGCACATGATGCAAAACCCTTCATGTTTTTCTGTCTCCAACTGACGACTTAGAAGAGTTAAAAATTAATTCAGGGACTAAGTAACAAGGGAATTAACTTGCTAAAGAGAAGACTATATACAATTTCCAAGTGCTGTTTCACAAGCTATCGTAAACCTATCGCTAAGTCTGATTCAGGACCTTTATCACCAAGACCAGAGTAAACGGAATAATTCTTGGCTGAAAATGTAAAGCTTAAACTAGGTTAACCTATTAAATTGTGTTTTTCATAAGCCTACTCCGATTGGAAAGACCATGGTACTGTCCCGAATTCCAACCACGCCGCTGGCGTACCCAGAGTCAACGCCTGTAGAGGAGGTACGCCTGGAGGTCGAATATCATGACGTCAACAGGCTGAGGTTGAAGGTGAGCCTTGTGATGTCAACAGTGGATGTCATGACGTCATCATCAAGGTTCTGTACATGGGGTACCTTAATGTTGAGTTACTAGACTATTTCCGTGAAACAAGAAATGAATTCAAATCACGTTTTATTCGATCAAAAACAAAATGATTGCCATGCTTCAAGAATCTCTCGAATAAAATTGACCGATACATGTATTAGATCGACTGAAAACACAACTAAATTGTATAAATGACCTGGTAATCACTTACTGATTGGCAACACTATTCAAACTTTGTAAAAAAAATGTAGTCTAAAAAGAACACACATATCTTTTGCACCTAGAAAAAAACTCAGGTTGCATTTATCTAAGAGTGAAACTATGCAATTTGTCTGTGGTGCTAAATTACCATGCCCACACTTGAAAGTAATTTAGAATCACAATGCCGTGGATTTGATGTTCCATCACCACACATGTGTTTCAGAAGGAAAAATGAGCACCCACCTAATTGCTTTCAAATTTTATTTTAACTCAGTTCACGGATTCCAAACAAGCTCGATATGAAGTATCCCAGCATGCCTTGGACATCCGGGCTCCGAGCACCCCGCCTGCGGCAGACGACATGCTGTATGAAGTCATTTATATAACTCAGCCTCAGTTTGGAGTGAAGGTCATAAGGAAAGACACAAACGCCACAATGTAAGTTTTTTTCTTTTGAGAGTCGAGAATAACGCTGAACGAGCTATACGGAAATTTGGAAACTGTTTGTCAAAATCAAAGGTCTGGACTATTTTAATAAAAGGTTTATAGCCCCTTTAAAAATTATCAAGTTCGTAAATTCTAAACCTAGAAATCGATTCTACTGAAATTGAATACAGTGTATATTGTATAACCCAGAATTCAGTTGGTAACATTTTTAGGCAAGGAAGAAATAGCATAATTGCCATTGACGCCAAAACAGCAGCCAATGCTATACCCATTTCATGCATAACGGATAAATTCACTAATAATGCCAGTATGAAGTCCCCCATGGCACAAGCCATTTAATCAACATCCCATTTGGTTTCACTTTCAGTTTCGATACAGCTCTGCCTGGTTTCACGTTTACAGACCAGTATCTCCAGCTCACCACGAGGCTTAACTCCAGCCACGTGTACGGCTTTGGTGAACACAATCATGGAAGATATAAACACGATATGAACTGGAGAAGATGGCCGATATTTTCCCGCGGGACAGGACCTAAGGCTGTGAGTTAAATATTTTAAATTAATGTACAGAGCGCGACTTAATTAAATGTTTTTGATAGAAACGATTGTGTAGAAAGTTTTTTCCTTGTTAAACTTTGCAAAAATTTTAATAGATAGCGCAATAGCGCAATATATAGTATTCCCGTCTTTCCATTTTTTACATTAATTTTGAGACTTAGGATTTGTGTAAGAAACAGTGGTATTTTATTTTATTTCGCAAGTTTAATGTTTACACTCATACGCAAATGGCCTTACTTGGAGGGTTTATACATGTACATCTAAGGATAATTGCGCATTTTCCTTTTTAAATATAATTCATGCGGTTGTTATACAGTACGTAACCACGTACATCTTGATTGGTATATGGAGCTGTATGAATAACTTGTACTTGCTCAATTAATTTAATCAATTTTCCCCGTAGGAACCTTTGAACCTTTACGGACACCAACCGTTTTACATGAATATTGAAAAATCGGGGAAAGCGAACGGTGTACTCTTGAAGAATTCTAACGCAATGGGTAAGTGCTGTGCGCCACTTCAACAAAGAGTAAAAAGACATAACACTGAAGTTGCCCCAGGATAAATACAATGGCTTATTTGATACGTAAAATGTACAGAGTATCAAACTATAATGTATACTATCACATTCAGTAAAAAAGAAAACTTGTATTTTGTCCTTCTGTGATAGAAAATCATGCTCGTAAATTCTCGTATATCATATATAAATAACAATGTTTGAACATCATTTTTATGCTACTGGCACTCCTTAAGTTTGCTGATCGAGTTTTAATTATTTTTTGTTTTGTTTATAAGTACCGTTTACTTTTCTATGCAGATACAATATAATTTCCTAGCCCCCCCCCCCCCCCCCCCCCGTCTCAATCAAACCTGTACCACTGTACTGTTTCCACCATTCTCTATAGTTTATATGCCATATTTGTAGACATAGTGCTGCAACCAGACCCATACCCGGCCATATCCTATCAGGTGATTGGCGGAGTGTTGGATTTTTATATTTTTCTCGGTCCTTCCCCAGAAAATGTAGTGGAACAATATAATATGGTAAGCTGGTTTGCTACATAAACTAAGTCAGTGATGTATTGCAATTATAGAATGCCAACTGTTTTCAATTTATAATTTATGTAAAACATGAAGAAATGAATAAAAATGGATATTTGCCAATATTTTTCAAAGAAAGTTATTCGCAATGGTTATGATCTACTAGCCAGTTTGTTCATGCCTTTAATTGTCATATGCATATCTTAATATCGATATATATCTCACATCTCACGGAGCAACCTTGATAGTTGAGTAAATATCTATATTATCACTTTGAAGGCTATCGGATATCCCGTGATGCCGCCATATTGGAGTTTAGGGTTTCAATTATGCAAATGGGGCTACAATGGCACTGCGCATGTCAGAGACGTTCTACGACGTCAGAGAGAAGCCAATATACCCCAAGTAGGTAAAATTTAGACATCATGGCATCTTTTCGCTCAGCGTTATATATTTTGACAGTTTATGAGCATAGAAGAAATCGCTAATAATAGACATGTACAAAGTAACTACATGTACTAGGACTGCATGCAGTATTTTATAGGGGTCTACCGCTAGGTGTCTTTAGTTGATGCTGTCACTATAAGCACATTATTATTGCTAAATCTAAAGCATTGATGTTGTCACAACTAACCTATCAATGTTGTCGCCACTATCGTATGTTTCTACTTACAGTGTTGATATTTACACACTTGCCGCGCCGGCCAATACATTGACAAGATAACGCATTTATATTGTCACCCGTAGCACAAGAAAAAAACGTTTTTCGCTTCTAGTCATAACATATCAACATTTTCTTACCAAACATAATGATTTGTCAGTGTTTGCACAGGAATTTCCACAGTTATTGCATGGTAGCTCGTAGGAATCTTTAAAATTAACGCACTGAAATTCCCACAGAGAACAAATTGAAATTCTCACATTTATTTCTGCACATTGTCGAACCTAACAGTAGCATATTGTCGCCCCCAACACACTGTGTCATGTTCATGCAGCATCAATGACCCTGATAATAATTCCAGGATGTGCAATACGTGGACATAGACTACACGTACGAGAAACTGACGTTCACATACAACAGGGACGGGTTTCGAGATCTCCCAAAACTTGTTCAGGAGCTCCACGATATGGGGCAGAAACTGATTCTTATTTTGGTGAGTATTCGTTTGGAGCAAGTGTTACGTCTCAGATACTCTGAGGCACATCTGATTTCTTTCTAATCTTACATAGGGTCTATGATATAGAATGTAAATGCTCAAGGTAATAATAATAATAATAATAATAATAATAATTATTATTATTATTATTATTATTATTAGTTATTTTAAAATAGTGATTATAAATAGTGGCAGCGATAGTAAATGATAGAAATGAATAATCACGGCATTTCATTGATGAAAATCCAATTCTGCATGTTATTATATTTTCAACTTTCAAACAATTAATAATTGATAATTAATGAGTAGTGCGCAACACATAGATTGTCTGATATGTACAAAGCACTTTCCTCTATCCCAGGACCCAGGTATTGGAACTGATGAAAATGTAACAAGTAGAGCACCACCCAACAATTCCTACCCGGCTCTGAACGACGGTGTAAGACAGGACGTGTTCATTAAGAATCCAAACAAGACAGGGTACCTAACAGCTGAGGTACTTTTATTATGTATTAGTCTGCAAAAATAAATAAATAAATTTAAAACTAAGAACGAAAAATCTGTCTCGAACTTTTGAAACAAAAATGTGTCTTTTACCCATAAAAAAGAGTAATTTTATGCCACTAAAATCGATGTCCTGTTGATCGGAACCGATGGACGTGTCATGAATTATTTTCTATTACTAGGTGTGGCCTGGAAAAGTGTATTTCCCGGATTACACCAAGCCGGAGACGACGGAATGGTGGACCAGGTGTATTGAGGACTTCTATGTGAACCAGAAAGTCCAGTATGATGCCCTTTGGTTGGTGAGTGATAACATACGACCGCGTGTCTTTCAAGCTTATATCTCTGACGTAAAACAGAATACATTTTTTGTGCCCTGGATGTCGTCTTGTGAACTTACATGAAAGAGTAACGCAGAACATGGTAGATTCACACTTTGTCCCCTCCATCCACCATTAACTAGCATAATGTCACCCACTGCATTATATTACTCTTTTACATATGTTTTCATTTTATTTATTTATTTATTTATTTATTTATTTATTTATTTTTGCAGGACATGAACGAGCCGAAGAGTTTTAAGTCTGGGTCGTTGACCGGATCATGTGATAAAAACCAGTGGAATAACCCTCCGTATTTGCCAAGTTTGTATCCTATTTCTTTGTTATTATTTTTTTTACTGATGCATTTGATTTTTTAAGAAGTCAAGTAAACGATGCGTTTCAAATTCAATCGAGGACAGTGATTATAAATTAGTCGTGTCAAAGGTGGCAAAATTGCAAAGACAGGAATCCGATAAAAAGTTTAGAAAATTAATATTCTAGATAAGCACAATGTGGTACATATCGGACACAAATCCTATGCAAGATAATTGGGGGGGGGGGGGAACGGCGAACCCACATCTCTCTTATTACTACATAATGCCGAAATTTCGACTACTAGAAATTCATCACAACGAATATATGATTAGAATACTTTAAGATTACCTAATCTACACTAATCTCGTTCTTTTCATAACACTGCCTTCCTTTCCACAGAAATCGAAGATTATGACAAGGGTCATCTTTATGAAGGGACAATATGTATGGACGCTGTCCAGGATAACTGGGGTCAGGAGACTGTCCACTACAACGTCCACTCTCTGTATGGGCACACCATGGCCATGGCGTCTTACGGGTAAGTTGAGCTGGGAATGACAAAAAATAAGCATAAATTGGTTAAAAACGTATTCGCACGTAAGACTCATTACCCAAGAAACAAGATTTAATGCCCTATTTTTTTATTATTATTATTATTATTATTATTATTATACAGTATGTTTTTTTCTCTTTCTAAAAGGGGTAGAATGAATGGAGAAGAGAGGCTGCATACATGTGAATAGGCAAAAAGGCTAACACCCCCTTTCCATAGATTTTTAGATCGATCTATCCCTGTGGAGAGTCTCACTAGATTACTGTCAGCTTGGCCGGCTTAAGCGTCTGTCCCGCCTACTAAAAGCTGTAAGGGGGTAATTAACTATGGTGCCCGCTCGGCTGACTGCAATTTAGCGTGAACCCCCAGGGAGTTAGGTCGATCTAAAACTTAATCTTTAGATCGATCTAAATCTCTGGGAAAGCACCCTTAATTATTTGATCTACGACGGTCAACAGCCGTCCTGACTATCATAAGCATACATTTTGACCGAAGAATGAGAAATGATTTGAACTACTTTGCGACCTTTTAATTTGCCAAGATGAAAATAATGCCTTTAAAGAGATTATATTGAGAAATGAAATTAAATTTTAATTAGGCTAACGGGCAAGTCGATGCTTTAGATGTGACCGAACCGACTGGACATTGTGATAGGTGAAATATAAAATCAAACCTTCTCATTTTGCCACCACCAGAGGAGACAACAGCTACTTACATTGTGTTAGAAACATGTATACAAGTACCCATTATTTCATCCATATCTTATTGTAGAGTATTACGCAAGCTCCAGCCGTCCAAACGACCTTTGGTGTTGACAAGGTCAACGTTCAGTGGTACGGGGAAGTATGCCGTTCATTGGTTAGGTGATAACACAAGTGAATGGCCCCAGCTAGCCTGGTCTATCATAGGTAAGACCGCTATTTTCCTGAACCCTTCAGCAGAGAATATCCTATATACAATGTAGGTTCTTTATTGAGTACTATTTTCGTTTTTCAAAAGGTCTGATGTGGGATAGATAAGTAACTTTGCAGGATATATAGGCCCCATTCAGAATAGGGGACTTACTAATCCAAGGGTCAAATGTGGTGACCTACTACAAAGCTTGTCATCTAATCTGCTAATAGACACTGAATAGAAATCCTGTGGTGAAGTATTCAAGTGGGTCGGCCATATTTGACCCTCGGACTAGTTAGTCCCCTATTCTGTATGGGGCCATAGACACAGATATTATGACTGATGCTTTTTCAAATGCGAAAAATGTACCTTGAATTACTTATAGTGGCATATTTTTAGCAGATTAAAGCTACTCTGGAAAAGCTGGGAATGACAAAATAGCAAGCATAAATTGGTTATAAAACACGTAAGACTCCCACAGTGTTTTTATATTTCAGGAATGCTCGAATTTAACATTTTTGGAATACCATACGTAAGTAGAGTTTTACTTAATTAATCTGCAATTATATCTAGAGATCAGCTACACGTTTCTTGCAGCAATGTGTTAACACGTTAAACAATAAAATGTCAAAGAAAACAACAACAATAACAATAGTAATAATAATAGTAATGATTTCGACTAAATTGCCGACAAATATTCTTATCAACCTTGACCTATACAAACCGTGACCCATATCAACCTTGACCTATACAAACCGTGACCCATATCAACCTTGACCTATACAAACTGTGACCCATATCAACATCAACCGTGACATGGCCGTATTAAGCGCAACCCATACTGTATCAAGCGTGACCCATATCAGTCTTCATTTTCCAGGTGGGAGCAGATATCTGCGGGTTCTGGGGTGACACCACCGAGGAGCTGTGCACGAGGTGGATGCAGGTTGGGGCTTTCTATCCTTTCTCCAGAAACCACAACGCTCAGAACTACCCCAGGGTGGACGGATTCATTGTAAGCCGTGTCTTTGACAGTTTAGTCGTTTCTTCTGATTTTTGTTTTTGCAATAGTCCTAGTAGTACCAAAACCGTGTTTATTTTTTTCTTTATCTTTTTGTTTATCTTTCTTTTTATTTATTTATTCATTAATATATTTATTTATTTATGGCTGATTGATACATGTACATTTATTGGATTACTTTGCCTTTTAGACTTATGTTGATTTAAATCAATCCTTTTAGTTGATAATGCACGCGTTTAAATAATGACGTTAAATATTTAAAAAGCTGTCTTTGCAATGTGCAATGTAAAGTTCAGATATATTCTTGTCTTATTTTAGTTTCTGTGTACGTCTTGATGACACAGTCTGTGCCTCTTAAATAATATACTGTCAATTATATAACCAAGTTTTTGAACACTTTTTTCCACTACATTAGGCGCATTTATTTTAGCAAACTTTACTTACAGTCGATCATCAGCTGTCACTTGCGCTTATGCTAATACCGTTAATCCACGTGTAAGAATAACTATATGTACATAATACGTTAAATCTCTTTGCAAGGAACAAGATCCAGCAGTTTTCGGGGAACCGTTCGTCACGCGGGCACGAGACGTGTTAAACACGAGGTACAGGCTGTTACCATATCTGTACACACTGTTCCACTACGCTCACACCACGGGATCTACTGTGGTACGGCCTCTACTACACGAGTGAGTACTCCGACCATGTTGTAAGGTGCGATTTTGCAATCATGGGATAGAATTATAGTGATGTATTAGTACCGTATACAGTAGTTGATATATCTAAAATATCCACGTGTTTGAATCATGGTTCCACTGTTGCCGTACATAAAGCACACGTCAAAAGGAAAGTAAAACCTGGTCCACCACAGTAAACGGTTCTTGTATATATATATATATATATATATATATATATATATATATATATATATATATATATATATATAGCTAGTTATTGAAATTGTCAATGAAACTCCTAGAGAGGTTTATGGGTATTTTGTGTTGAATATATACGTTGGATAAATAATGTACATCCATGATTTCGAGTTTTATAGTACTGGGGTACTATACAGAGAGAGTGCATGGTGTAACAGTAGGCCTAGCGTCATTTAAAATGGAGGTGGGAAATAAATATGTCTTCAAATACCAATTTTGTAGAGGTATTGAATGTAACATTGCACCAAATCACATATACGCGTAGTCTGAAAAATAATACACGAGTGAATAGTTCTTGTGTTAAAACCGACCGTGACTTTAAAATCGTCTGTTTAACTACTTGTCGCAGATTCACGTCCGACTCGGCCACGTTCGATATTGACGAGCAGTTCATGTGGGGTGCTGGTTTGTTGATATCTCCAGCGCTTCGGCAGGTAAGATATATTCTATAAACATAAAGGCTGTCTCACGGAGAAATCAGATAATAACATCGACATTTTCTATGATGTTGTTACTTTGTTTGTTTGTTTGTTTGTTTTGATTATTTTTTATTTCTTTTCTTCCTATTTCTTTCTTTCTTCGGAATGTCTTGTCTCTGTCTTATTTTTATGTAACGCAGTTGCAAAAATGCTTTATCACACATGTGTCATCATTTCTGTTTTGAAACTCCATTAAAATGATTTTTGGATTTTCATTAATCTTATTGCATTTTATCACAAGGGTCAGGTAGAAGTCGAGGCATACTTTCCGAAAGCGCGCTGGTACGATTACTACTCTGTAAGTGTTTGCTTGTAATATATTTACATGCTTTCTTTTTTTTTAATATTTTATGCACATTTAACACACAAAAGATCTCAAAGTTACCACGAAAAGCATGCAAAGTATATACTGATGAACTCCATTTTTCACTTTTATTCATCGAAACTCGATGACTTTAATTTAACCACTAACGTTGCAAGTGCCTTGCAACTGAACTATCCACAGATATAGGCTAGTAACTGAATAAGCATAGACTATACCCCGTGCTATTTTCACTTTAAAAGGGCGCAGAACTTCCTTCTTCGGGCAGGAATATAACGCTTCCAACTCCTATAGATAAAATCAACCTTCACGTCCGAGGGGGTCACGTGATCCCATGGCAAAGAGAAGCGAACACGACGGTAATAAGGTAGGTTTTTCATTCTATACATGCCACAAGTCACGTGACCTGTGATGGGCCGGAAGTCGATTGTGTTAGATCATGCACACGCTATAATAGAAAAGCCATCCACTTGTTTTATGTACCTCTGGACCAAAAAAATTTTTAGGTTCAATTAATTACAGAGCTTACTTCAATCTATTTTGAAATATCTCTCCCCTTTTTCCGCGATATTCTCTTCAGGATATTTAATTATTCAATTATATACTTCATGCCTTCTGAAAAACTCCAACTGAAGAATGTAACTAGAGACCTAATTCTACAGTTGATGTCTTGAAACCCACTTATATCTTCCAGTCGTCAAAATTCAATGGGTCTTATAGTAGGACTGGATGACGTCGGGCAGGCTAGTGGATCGCTATTCTGGGATGATGGAGAGTCGTTTGGTGAGTTTCCTCTCGCTCGGTCAGTGGGTCAAGCTATAGATTTAGTTTATGAACATGTGGATTCAAAAGCTTATTTGTAACTTCTACATGTAGCATAGTGTAGGAGAAGCATTGTTTGTATGAAATTCTCCCAGCTATAAAGTTTCATGAAAACAGTTCTGTAAGTACGTCTGTAACGGACTTTTTTTCATTTGACAGACTTTTACTGACTTTTATGCCATATAGTATTATGTTCATTAGTACGTTTTAAAAAAATGCCTCTTAAACTTCGTTTTACTATGTATGCCTTATATTATGAAAACTATTTTGTTCAATTATTAATGATATTTGGCAATGTTTTGAAAATAGCATACACCATTTTCATTGAACCGCTTTATTTTAGAAACGTTCACGACCGGGGCCTATTTACTGGTCCACTTCGCTGTAGTGGTAAGTTTTTTTTACAAAAAAAAAATTATCCAGCAAATAAAATTATATTGGAGTTCAGTCTCACTTGGTGCATGAGGAATTTTATTTACAAAGCCGTTTTAGCGTACTTTTGGGGACATAGGCTACAGTACCCGTATTATTCGTAATACAGTTAGTTAATTAGTTTGACTTATTTTAAAACAGAAACAGGTATCACATACAAGACAGCAATGAGGTATAGGCTTTTCATTCTATACACGTCGGGCCGGAAAGAAAACGGTTGTGTTAGATGAGATTACGCACACGCAATGATAGACAAATCATCACCATTTGGCATTTTAGAACGGTTTGTAATCGGCCATCTGCTTTCTGCAAATTGAATCAAACCACAGTATGCAGTAAATCTCGAATCCATTTTAGTCGATAACCATACTGTATTTTTTACTCCATAAGAAATGAGACTCACAATTTTAAATACCTTAACGCATTTATCATCAGCATTCATTATTCATGACAGGATTCTTCACTGTCGCTGACCGCTGTACACAGTAACACGACCTCCAGTAAAGGTTTGGAGTTTAATACTATAGAGATATATGGGCTGAGTAATATACCGTTATTCACCGTGGACAACACGCGGAAGACTCAGGGTCTCAAATGGAACAATACAAATAAGGTAGGAGAGAAATGCCAACATGCCGGTGGCAGGAATTTGAACAGGGAACACATTTCAGCCGAAGTCACACAGCGCTATATCCCTATGATAATTACCCTTCGACAACTTATGAGATTTAATATTAGCTTCCACCCTATTGGTGAAGAAGGTACAGCAAATGTTTTCTTTGTTCCTATTGGTGCCGTTCAGTATAAAACGTGCAATGACCCCGACGTCAACCTGTGCAATTTGTGTTACATTAATAGACCTATTCCCACTTAACCTTCTGATATCTGAGGCTTCTAAAATAGTATAGACATATATCACCGGTACGTACAGTGTGTAAGCCATATAATAATTTTGTAACAGACTACTAGAAACATACGACTACTGTGGTCAGAGAATATATGCGTTTTATTGTAACTGTGTTCTCAATTTGCTTCCTAGGTGGCGCTCCTGGAGGATCTCCATCTGCCGATTGACAAAAACCACACGATAACCTGGAGTTAGGTTTTGGAATTGGAAGCTAGGCGGCGCTCCTGGATAATATGCATTTCCCCACGAGCACAAGACACAAAACATTCCGTAATGACACCAATCAACCTCTAAACCAAAGATATACATTTACTCATAAACCATTACCTCCGCCAAGGAAGTTATGTTTCCACCCCGGTTTGTTTGTTTGTCTGTCTGTCATCAACATAACTCAAAAAGTTATGGACCGCTTTTTAAGAAATTTTCAGGAACTGTCAGAAGTGGGCCAAGGAATAGATGATAAGTTTTTGGTGGTGATCCGGATCAATAATCAATAATAATCAAAAACTGCTGCTTTGGCGGAGGTCTGCGCTCTCGGAGTGCTTTTCTAGTTTTAAGTGTATTCTGTGTAAAAGAGACAAAACGCCAGAATTAACAACGTACTCGACGAACCTCATTCTTTGGATGTCAGCTCTCTTCAAACTAAATTTAATTTTATTTTATATTATATCTATCTTATGCTCTTCAGGTTGTTCTGAATAGAGATGGATTTTGTAGACGCTTTACGCTTATTATTTCCATATCTGCTTCTTCAAACAAATTGACAAATTGAAATAAAATCCACACAATATTTCTATTGCTGTTGTTTATTCATTTTTATAAAATTTAATTTACGTGGATAATTATTGTAACAGAGCTATCTGCAGTCTGTCGTAAAAAAAGCTTTTCATCATACAGACGAAATTAAAGCAATAATAACTCTTCCTTTGAGATTCAAAAATCCGCATGAAATACATTGTAAAAAACGCATGGAAATATATTCTATTGTATTTTACCACTAAAACGGCCGTTATTGTAGGAAAACTAAAATCTGTGCTTGTCAATAGGGCTTACGATGCCTTTTTTCCGGTCGACAAGTGCATTCGTTGCTAATGACGTAATGGTGTCACGCGGATTCTCGCGTTCATTCGAGACCAAAATAACATGGCGCCAAACGCATTAGTGCAGACGCAGACGTAAGTTGCGAGTTTTTGTACAGTTTTTGTACAGTGCGTCGAGTTTTTGTACAGTGCGTTTGTACGAAAAGCCCAGAATGGCACACATTGCGGATATAAATGCATTTTTAACAAAAAGACGAATATATCTCATGAATCTTATATAGTGTTGTTGTTGTCTGTTTTTCCCGCGGTTTTAAGTAGGTCACCACTGACTTTGCAATGTCAGAGAGAGCTCCGTCAGTTAAAATCTCTTAAGAGATTTTAACAAAAAACCGTACGTTTAGGAAAAAAACCCTGGATTAACTTTGAATGCAGGAATGGGGTCGTTGGCCATTGGTAAGTACGGGAAAATTGCCGTTTTTTCCAGGAAAATCCAATTTTTGGCCAAAACGAAGAGTTATTATGACTTTAAGTAATTAAAAATATGTGGAAAATCCCATTTATTGTCCAACTTCTCCAAATTATCACTACATATGATTGATAAATCAAGTAACGTATACTTTTTAAAAAAAATTTATTAAAACAAAAAGTGCACTTTCGAACGTCACACTTAAAGGCTGCTAGAAACATTCAATATAATAGATTCTAATCAAGAAAGTCACCCTTTAGTCCTTATCACTTAAATAAGTGATGATTTATCAGACAATTAAATGATTAATTCAGACATTGATTATATACGCGTTTTCCATATTTTTTCATCTTTCTGCATGAAAAACTTGTCGATCTTTATAAACAAAATTATGAGCAATCTGATCTGAAGTTTCTGTGCATTTATTTCACAGCAGTGTTAATTTCGTGTTTAAACTTGAAGATTTATACACCGTTATTTACTAAAAAAACATTAAAAAGTACTCTTTAATACTTATTTGCACAATTGGGTCAATTGAAAAATAAAACATGAGCCCTATGAGTCTACCGAGTTACGAATTTACACCTTAAAAGTGGAGAACCCGCCCTGTTGGTGGTGGTGATGGGGATGATGGGAATGATGATGTCTATCCTCGGGAGGGGCCGGATCTGTATACGTTGTGAACTCGGAGGTGGATATGCTTGACGGGCGGCTGAAGGTCTGGTTGTCAAAGCCTACAAAAGAAGAATAATTCACAGTTATAGACAATTAAATGTAAGGCATGCCACTTTTGTTTTTTTTTTTTTATTATTATTATTTTACCTGAATACTACTGGTAATTGTTATGTTAACTGCTCTTTAATGTTCCAGCCACGATTTTAGTAGCATTTGAATACGACCGTGCCGCGTAATCTACAGTACCGGTACACATTACTAATACGTCAACAACCAAACAAAATAAACAATATGCAAATATCGGATTGCAAATGTCTACGTAGATGTAAGCATTTCATTGTGCACCCATAACGAATACAATAGATTATGCGGACAAGGCAATTGATACAACGATACATGAAGCATACATACTGTACTGGTAGACTTTCGAATGTATGTGAAGCGGAATTAAATGCGTATACTTAAATGATTAATAAAAATGCCCAAGTAGAGAAAGTATTACGCAAGCACAAACAGACAGACAAACAGACAGACCTGTGGAGAATAGTCTAGGGTCTATGGGATCGTATGAAGACGGCGGCCGTGTGCCATTTGAGAAAGAGGTTTCCATTGTGTTAAAATTGGTCTGATCAATATACAATCCGTGACCGCTTCGCTGTGTTCGCGGTTTTCTGGAAGACCTGGGGACAAGAAAAAGAAAAGATAAATGCAGAGAGAGAGAGAGAGAGAGAGAGAGAGAGAGAGAGGTAGTATACTACACGTACTGTAGTACACGTTGGGTGCAGAATACAGCGCCGAAACAAGCTTGGAGCCATTTTTCTTTTTTGCATCATGCGCTTGCGCTTTGTTTATTATGTGTTGCACATTACAAGAAACAATTACGTGCACGCACCTGCAAAAATCACAAACCAAGCTAGAAAGCCATTTTACCTTTGTTTACAAACAACAACCACGCAGACGATCGCCATAATGACGACACAGGCGCCACCTGCCGCCGCCCCAATAATGATGCCTATTGTTGCGAGATCTACAAAAACATAATTAAGGATTTAACTGTAGAAACATACTTTACTGGTTATTTCACACTGGGCGTTTGGGCGATGTTGCTCTTACATGAACATAAACAACATCTGTCAACATCATGTCAATCACATAATTTGACAAAGATGACGAGAAAATGTTTTTTATAACATTGAAATTGATAGAAGTTCAACCTGAGACAAATGGCCGACCTACCTGTGCGCTCTTTGGAAGAACTCACTGTCACTGAACTGTTCTTGGTATTTTGTTCTGTGGTAATAGACGGCTTTGGCACTTGATATGAAAAATAAAAATTAAATTAAATAATACGACCAATGATGCCGCCCTTCGCTGGAATGAGTGGACAGGATTAGCAATTACTCTGTATACTGAATAGATACAATACAGATGCATTGCATGTTTTGCACAGTTTACATTACCTCTCTGCCGAATAACTGGTTTTCTTGTTAACAAAAGTATTCGATAGAATTAAATTTTATCATTTAAATCAAATAGTCTGAAGACGAACAAATTTTGCGTTGACATGGGACATGCAGAAACACAGTTTATCAATCCTGAATGTGAAAATTAGAATAAACTTTACTTGGACATATTTAATGAAAATACGCTGTGCAGACTTTCAATGCTGATCTTAAAGAGATCAAATTTTATCCTCAACCAAAACTAATATTTTATAATAGCCTATACCTGTAGAGTAGTTGGTAAGTTGTGTAGTAACAAACTGATCGCCAGGGGGAGCAGTCAAGGTTGCGGTTTCACTGATGTTGAGCACTGGACGGGACTGGAACGCGGTAGATCTCGGCGTCTGACGCGTGCTGGGAGGGGAGGTAGTTGACGACATCCGGGTCACTGGTTGAGCCACGTGACTAACTGAGGATCCTGTAGCGACACTGGTAGCAGTTGCAGTCACTGTGTAAGAATTAGTTGTACTAGCTATGCTCTGTGTGATAATACTGCTACTTTGTACATATGCTGGCACAATGCTACTGCTAGCAGTACTTGTGCTACGCATGCTAAATGCAGTGGTATATTCTGTCCTGACAGAGGACTCTGACGGCCAAGGGGGAGGTCTGTCTGTTTGTCTGTCTGTTAGTCTGTCAGTTTGTCTATCAGTCTTTATATCCGTCCACTCAGTGGAGTCAATCGGCATCGGTGTCGGCGACGTCGTAGCAGGCTTAAATGTCGTACTTTCGGTTGCTACAAAATCCTTATTAGTTCTGTAGGTTGTCGTTTGGTTTGACAGGAAAGGAGTGGTCAAAGACGTCGCAGGCGGTGTAGGGGATGGTGACACTGTCGTAGTTGAGGACCTCGTCGTAGACGCCCGCGTCCCTGGTGTCCTCCCGTTAATATTCAACTCCTCGTTGCTTCCACCATCGGAACTCTCCACACTTGCAGTCGTCTTCCCGCGCTTTTCTAACTTAAATCGATCAACAGCGCCACCTACTTGTGACCTGTTATCGCCCACGCCCCCAGCGGTTGTCCAGCGTCCTACTGAACCCCTGATGACCTCGAAGGGCGTCGTGGTGCGCCGAGTGGTAAGCGGTGTGGTGGATCTCGTAGTATGTTGGGTATAGTAAGTAAAGATAGAGTGACCTAGGAAAGTAAAAGCGCATGCAATACTATAGATCTACTAGAAGTAAGACATTGGTCAAAAATCATGAATTGTGTGTGCTCTAAAAGATGGGCGTAAAGCCACTTGCAATATAATGCCTAATTCACATTCACTACCTGTTCATGTGCGATTGAAGAAAAGGCGTTATGTATCATGCACTTAGTATTTGAATTACGATCTTTTGCAGCCGACAACAATAGCAGCATATTCTTCTGGGAATACATGCAAAATATTTACATTTACTGTGTCTGTATTAATACGTTTAGGTATCTGTCAAAATTAAAATATTTTCAAATGACATACTGAATCGAAATTCTTACTATAACTCCTTTGAAAATGTAAATAAAAACTAGACATTATTTGAGACACATTTTTTCCAATTAAATCGACAATGGGGCATGATTGTTTCTAAAAACCTTGTACACCTTACCGTTTTGGCAATGGAAACCATCTATCTTAAGAGACATTCCAGTTGGACATGCGCACTGCTTCCCTCCCAGCACGGGCAAACAGAGATGGCTGCAGAAACCGTTATATTCTGAACAAGCGTTGCGGCCTGTAAAATTTGACAGTATGAGTAGACAATCGCCTTTTACATTTACGAATATAAAATAGCTACATGTATCTACTGAAGGAGTCTTAGTACAAAACGACCGATATGTATCCTGTAAACACTTTTCGCATTTTTCTATGTCGCTTACGCAACAATTACATAAATGTAGAAAAACCCGACACCACACCAACACTTATACATGTAATTACATAACCATAACGTATACATAATCAAAAAACGTAACGGTAACGTTATAAAACGTTCTGTGTTTGTTGGGTTAATGTACTACCCAATTATGCTTCAAACCAACCAGAAAAATTAGCCAACCAAAGACTTAGCAGTTCAATCACCATTTACATTTCCACTAATAACAAGGTACTATTTTAGGAAAATAACTTCACCTGCCATGGCCTCGGACTTCCTGTAGGCGTGGATGTCGTTGAGCCTGTTAAAAAGAGCTGGGCCTACGGGTGTCGGAGACCTGCTGCCATACTTGGATATCCTCATCACAGATCTGTTAAGTAAATTAATTAATATTCGAATTAATATTTGAATTAATAATATGTTGGATACGCCGTGACGAAACATAACAAAATGAAACAAGTCTCCAGTTTTGAATAAGCTAAATTAGTAAACTTAGGCGTAGCCGCCCATCAAAAACAAGAATGTACAATATCGGCATATTGTCTAAACACTATCGCAGTAATGATATCACCAATTCATGTCATGATTTTTGGCCAATTTCCTGTTTTAACTTTGAATACTTACTTTTTCCTCCAATCGGAATAGTAAATGTAATCGCCAGCAATGGCGATACCGAAATAATGCGCGTTGCTGTCTTCGAACAAAGATCGCGGTTCCTGCCCAAATAAATTTGATGTCATCACCTTGTCAAAGCGGGCGTCTGCCCAGTATATTTGCCCCGCTGGAATAAGATTTTTAAAAATTATACAATAAGGAAGGAAAAGCGCGATTGTGATCATAGAAGTGTAGATAGGCAGAGTTTGGTGGTCGGGAAAATGACTAAACATATTGTTATCCAATTGGAAGTACATTCACAGTAATTTAACGCGGTCAATAAAGTGATATGAAATGCCATAAATGTTCGTAAAAAGTATTAGGTACAAATAACATGCCCTTACTCACCATATCTGACACATACATGTACTACAGTAGCATCATTTTAGTGAAAACTGTAACGGAAAACATTATGTCGGGATGATTTTAGATATTTAAACAAAGTGGTGCACATTCTCCTACTTATAGTAAACAAAGGACAACGTATTTACGGCATCACCCTCTTACCGCCTGTGTCCACTGCAAGACCATTCGGCCACGCCCCGATATCAAAATTAATGATACTCAGTCGACTGGACCCGTCCATGTTTGCCCGCTCCAACTTTGGTCTCTCTCCCCAGTCCGTCCAATACATGTGTCTATCGAGAAAAAATAACACGTAAATGTTTGCGATGTTCATTTTCATTGAATTTCTTCAACATTCATCTTAGAAATCCTTCTCAGAAAGACATACATTGAAAGTAGCCTACACGTTGTATTCTAGAATAAAAAACCAACCGGCTTCTTTTGGACCCCAGAGTGCTCAGTGATTTTCTTAAATAAGAAAATTTCATTTGCCAGGTAATTTATCATAGGGTATTGTTATAATGTGTTACATGTATCATATTTTATATAAAAAGCGGAAATAAATACATAGACAAAACAGTAAACAAACATGCCTCATTATGAAACGAGTTTTGAAGAGGGAGGGGGGATGGAACTCACCCGTGCATTGGGTCCAGAGCAATAGAACGCGGTTCATCCAAGCTCTCATTGATCAATATCTTACTATATCTGCCGTCCATGGACATGACTCCTATCACATTACGACCCGTGTCGGTGTAATACAGCAGACGTGACAAGGGATCCACGGCCACGCCGTCAACCACAGACGCTGAAACGGAAAACATTTTCAAACTATACTCTTTACTATTGTACTTCAGAAGATTTTGTAACTACTAAAAGAGCTCTAAGGACTTACAGGTACAGTAGAGAGTATGAATATTTAATGTTATGCAGGTGTGCAAGACACAAATATATTCTGGGCAGTTCCGTCAATTGAAACTTATACTGGGAAATTTTCATCCAAATTATTATGAAGCTGTCTTGCAATTGGAAAATATAACGAGCATTGCAACAAAGCATTCGAGTGTATTTATTCATTTATAATAATTTGCTTAAATGGAATGTTAAGAACATTTTTGTCATAATCATGTATGGGAATCCTAATAATTGGTGATTCTGTTACACTTATATCTATATAGTTTGCCAAATGTCTGTGGACTTAACAAGCATATTCCCCTGAGCAATACCCATCATAAATAATCTCTGAAATTTATACTGAAATCTACCACTGAAATGCACAATCACAACATATCCTCTGCTCACCGTCTGGCAGTACTTTGATGATCTCCTGCCCCGTGCCGTTAATGTAGGCCCTCTTAATCACCTGCATTAACACGTCCGACCAGTAGACACGCCCCTCCTTGGGGTCGTAGTCCACCGCTATCGGGTTCTCGTGTCCTGTTGGGAAAATAGTTTAAATATGACGATGTGCATAGATGTATTTGAATTAAATAAATCAGTTATCAGTGAAACGAACTGATTGATCGGTAAATAAATAAAATATTACTGTGCCCCTACCCCCTTAAGCAAAACTCTGCACCCGCATTAGTTAAGATTCGATACACTCATGCAAGGACTTATTTTTTACCTTTCAGTGGGACCGCCCTGATTTCGCTGTCTTTAAGAGACATTTGGAAAATCTGCTTTTGATAAGTATCTGTGAATATGAGGAAGTCGTCTTTGACCGTTTCTAGAAAAACGAAAAGAGAAAACAGAATATGAATTGTGTGTATCACTTATTAAGTGCTGATGGCACATAAAAGCATTTAAAATTATTTTTAAAAAACACGCCTAACCTTTCTGAAAACATATACAAATATTTTCACATTTAAAAGAATGCGTTTGTCTCTTTTACCTGACAGACACCTCTTGCCATCAGAGGCAAGCGAATAACCTATTGCGCACGCGCAAGACCGTCCTTCCTGATTTAGAAGACATAAGTGATCGCAGCCGCCATTTTCATCATCGCACGCACCTGAAAAATTAGATACTGGAATAGTAGTGTGTATGTTCTCAAATATGCATTGTTTGCTGGAGGTTCAAGAAAAGGAATGCCCATCGACCCTAACCATACAGCCAGACAAAAAGAAGGTAAAGATAATTTTTTTAAAATATCGTAAGAAAAACAAACAAAGATAAATACCTGACCCCTGTTTATTCGCAATGCAATATTATATCATCAATCAGAAACTTGCTGTTGCTTATTTAATGGTTGCCACACCAAATATCAACGCACGTAGAGCTTAAAAATCTACATTTTTTTTAAAAACCAGATATTCGTGGGTGTGACAACCATTTTGAGCAACCCTGTATTATCACCTTCCACTGTTGGCTGGTGCTGGTAATCATAAGCCAGTATGTCATACGCCGTGCCGGTATTAGGATGGACGACGCCGCGGACCTTCTGACCTGTATCCTTCATAGCGATATGAAGCCCATTCCGGGTACCCTGGTCGGTCCACAGCAAGTAGTCCTGGAATATCGCAGAATGATTAGGATGGTATTTATTTATTGAGAAATATAATAAAGTTTTTTACTAATTTTGACAAGTAAGCTTTTTTCATGTTTTCATTTTTCAAACGCCTGTTCATTCATTCTAAATTTTGTTAATTGAATTTCATTATCTAATTTCCGACACAGCGGTCCTGAAATCTACATGTAGTTATCTTTTAAAGAAAATGCATGCATAACTGATCGTGTCTACATTTTGTATTTGTTAGAAAAAAAGAAAGGCTGTCGGAAATAAAATTACAGTTTTAATTAAATATAAGAGAAATAAAATATCCACAATTGTCCCTCACCTTAAAGGTGACCAGTCCCCTGAACTCAGAATCCCCGGTGACCACCAGCGTCTTCCTGTCTCTGCCTCGGAGATCCACGGACTCTATTCTCCGGAGCACGCTGTCTGTCCAGTACAGTCTGATGAAGAACATATCATTATTAAACAAATAAATTAATAAATAATAATAATAATAATAATAATAATAATAATAATTCACTGCTGTGTTCTAGTAACGCAGATGTAGTAATAAAGCGACGGTAGAATTTAAAACCACCGTGTATTTTAACAAATGATACCCGGTAAAATTACTACATGGAGTAGGCTTTGGAACCTCTGCAAAGGACTTAGATTATTGAAAAGAAAAAAAATAAACGACAGCCACTGCGTCACACCAGTGGTAATTCCACTACATTTCACCAGGTACCTTGATTGTTTCATTAGATTGAAGAAATAAACACATATACACGCGCATACATATATGGTACACATATGCGCATACACACATACACATATATCACACACATACGCTGATGTGCACACACACACACACACACACACACACACACACACACACATGTACGCATATTGGTACACACAAATGCATATGGCACATGCATACACGCAAATCAATAAATAGCAAACCCTGTTCACCTTTTGGACACCATGTCCACTGTGATATCATTGGGGGACCCTAGGGAGGTCTCTATCAGCGTGGCTCGGCCTCCTCCGTCCATATTAGCGACCTGGATACTGGGCTTGGACCCTATGTCACTCCAGTAAAGTTTCCTGGAATGTACCGGTAGGTCACCGTGTGTTAATGACAACTGCCACGCTAACAGTGATTAGTACATGCAACAACGTTCAATGTTTTAAAAATGGCATCGGCGTCGGTCTATTTTAACTTTAGAAAAAACACACATTTTAGTCCATAGAACAGGCAGACATCCGTAAATCAGCTTTTGCTCAAAGTTGGGTACCTGTCTCTTAATAATCTGCACATCTAAATAAAGAAACATACACAGTACTGTTTGCAAGTACTGCGTTTATAAAATTTCTATATAGAACCCACTGGCAGTCTAAACCAGCAATATGTCTACCTTCTACGAGTACCATGGTCACAGATAGATTTTCACAGCTAGGTATCTGGCTAATTCAAGACACGACTCTCTTAGTAAAGAAAAGTGCAGAAAACTAATCTACGGCCCTGGTAGTGAGTATAGCCTACAATATGTCCATTTCCTGTATGTCAAATAATGACCTTCACCTTCTGACGGCGTCCACGGCTATAGCCCTGGGGTGTTCCAGGTCATCTTGTATTAGAATGTGCTGATACCGGCCAGCTAGGGTGGACACTGCAATATGGCGCATCTCAGAGTCCGTCCAGTAGATGTTGTTGCCCAGCCAATCTACGGCTAGCCCTATTTTTATTGAATAAATAAATAAATAAATAACTTTTTTTTCAAACTTTGTTTAAAAAACAGTTTATGATATGATAAATTGCTTTGCTTTCAATACATTTTCCCAGCTTGTTGCGTAGGCCTACAATCTACAAATACACAGATGAAATACATGTGTAAAATGAGTTTTTCTTGAAATTTACGTTGCTATATGCCTTGAACTCGCAACTTTTGCTATTAAAGAAATATAACTGAAACGAGGCTTCCTGTGTAATTGCTCCTCACCTTCCACGTGCCCCAGTCCTCCAGCTATCACCTGTGGCGCTTCTCCATGCGACAATCGCACCTTGGAAATGGTCCTTGTCACGTTCTCAGCGAAATAAATCGCCTCCTCGTACACGTTACATGATAGAGATACAACGTTCTTTCGATTCTTCAGAAAGCACTGGTCATCTAGACTAATGTTGGTCATGCTCATGTCGGGGAGATTGGCTTGGAACCGGCAGATAGCGCCACCTATGGAGTAGATGAGCTGTGGGGCGCCAAATTTACCGTCGTCTGCTGGAAATGGAACACGACGGCAAAGAACATGACTGGATTTGTAGTCAAAACGTTTGGATGTTTTAAAATTGGGCATCTTTGTGGGCTAATTCCTCGTTATTATTTGTGTTAATATTTTGAACATAGCTCATTCAAATGATTAAAACATTCACACAATGCAACCAATGCAACTGTTCAAAATATTCTTTATTGATAGATCTGTACTGCTGTATTCATATATTTACAATACATCTTTACGAAGAATTATCACTACTTTCTACTTATCAAAATCACAAGCCTTGCCTTTNACATGTACGCATATTGGTACACACAAATGCATATGGCACATGCATACACGCAAATCAATAAATAGCAAACCCTGTTCACCTTTTGGACACCATGTCCACTGTGATATCATTGGGGGACCCTAGGGAGGTCTCTATCAGCGTGGCTCGGCCTCCTCCGTCCATATTAGCGACCTGGATACTGGGCTTGGACCCTATGTCACTCCAGTAAAGTTTCCTGGAATGTACCGGTAGGTCACCGTGTGTTAATGACAACTGCCACGCTAACAGTGATTAGTACATGCAACAACGTTCAATGTTTTAAAAATGGCATCGGCGTCGGTCTATTTTAACTTTAGAAAAAACACACATTTTAGTCCATAGAACAGGCAGACATCCGTAAATCAGCTTTTGCTCAAAGTTGGGTACCTGTCTCTTAATAATCTGCACATCTAAATAAAGAAACATACACAGTACTGTTTGCAAGTACTGCGTTTATAAAATTTCTATATAGAACCCACTGGCAGTCTAAACCAGCAATATGTCTACCTTCTACGAGTACCATGGTCACAGATAGATTTTCACAGCTAGGTATCTGGCTAATTCAAGACACGACTCTCTTAGTAAAGAAAAGTGCAGAAAACTAATCTACGGCCCTGGTAGTGAGTATAGCCTACAATATGTCCATTTCCTGTATGTCAAATAATGACCTTCACCTTCTGACGGCGTCCACGGCTATAGCCCTGGGGTGTTCCAGGTCATCTTGTATTAGAATGTGCTGATACCGGCCAGCTAGGGTGGACACTGCAATATGGCGCATCTCAGAGTCCGTCCAGTAGATGTTGTTGCCCAGCCAATCTACGGCTAGCCCTATTTTTATTGAATAAATAAATAAATAAATAACTTTTTTTTCAAACTTTGTTTAAAAAACAGTTTATGATATGATAAATTGCTTTGCTTTCAATACATTTTCCCAGCTTGTTGCGTAGGCCTACAATCTACAAATACACAGATGAAATACATGTGTAAAATGAGTTTTTCTTGAAATTTACGTTGCTATATGCCTTGAACTCGCAACTTTTGCTATTAAAGAAATATAACTGAAACGAGGCTTCCTGTGTAATTGCTCCTCACCTTCCACGTGCCCCAGTCCTCCAGCTATCACCTGTGGCGCTTCTCCATGCGACAATCGCACCTTGGAAATGGTCCTTGTCACGTTCTCAGCGAAATAAATCGCCTCCTCGTACACGTTACATGATAGAGATACAACGTTCTTTCGATTCTTCAGAAAGCACTGGTCATCTAGACTAATGTTGGTCATGCTCATGTCGGGGAGATTGGCTTGGAACCGGCAGATAGCGCCACCTATGGAGTAGATGAGCTGTGGGGCGCCAAATTTACCGTCGTCTGCTGGAAATGGAACACGACGGCAAAGAACATGACTGGATTTGTAGTCAAAACGTTTGGATGTTTTAAAATTGGGCATCTTTGTGGGCTAATTCCTCGTTATTATTTGTGTTAATATTTTGAACATAGCTCATTCAAATGATTAAAACATTCACACAATGCAACCAATGCAACTGTTCAAAATATTCTTTATTGATAGATCTGTACTGCTGTATTCATATATTTACAATACATCTTTACGAAGAATTATCACTACTTTCTACTTATCAAAATCACAAGCCTTGCCTTTGCATGACCTTCCATCTGTGTCAAGGACAAAGCCATTGGTACACATGCACTTTGCCCCTCCCCGCCCAGTGCTCACACATAGATCCTGGCAGTCCATGACATCACAGGGAACTGGAAAATAAATGTCAAGACAATTCATTTCTTCCAACATTTCTTCTTTGTTTTTGTCCTTTTAATATAAAGGTCTATGACTGTTAGAACATTCTGAAAGTTCTACGTATATAGGTACATAGTGAACAATAGTATAAAATAAAAATACATGGTGCTTACCAGAACCATTTGGTTGCACGCTGTCGTCGTACATGATAATTCCATAGGGTACCGCGGGAAGGTTGAAGTTAAGTATATTTTTCTGTTCCTTTTCACCATATATCCTAAGCTGTTTTATGCTTTGTTCCGTCACAAAGATGAGATCCTGTTTTACAAAAAAAGTAGTCAAAAATACTGGAACAGAACTGCTGAAGAATGTCATCATTATCATCATTATTAATATTTTCATTTTTTGTTGTTATTGTTTTTATCTACGAAATACAGGTAAGAGAAAAAAGCACAATCAGATAAAGCTGTATAAACCACTCAGAAAAACTATGTTTGTTAAATAAAAACACTTTGGAAACAAAGTAATTTTAAAGGTATGGCTTTTCAGTTATATTTGAACATAGTTTAAGTTTTTCGCCTTCCATATAACCGCTTCCATAGTTTGTAGTATAAAGTTGAATGCCCTTGGAGGTGCGCCCAACGCCTGTGAGAGTTTAGTTTGCCTGACAAACTTAATATAATTAAATTTTTGAAATTGGTGGTTTGTTGGGCGCTAGCTTTTGAATTGTGATATTGAGTTGACTACACCCAGGTCTTATTTTGCCATCACAATATCTTAGAGTTTCTTTTTGGTGTTGAATTGTCTTTTCCGGTAGAATGCTTCACTCTACAAAATACAAAGAGCCCCACTAAATTCTCGTATGAATAATGTTGGCAAAGAGTTACTCGTGGTCCTTCTATAAACATAACGCTTTGGGACTCTGGTAACCCCAGTATTTCCGCTTTTCTAATAGTAAAACAGTATCATTTAACTTTCACAAAGCTAAATGAAAATCGCCAAGAAACAACTCACAATTAACACGCGCGCGAGTGTGTGTGTGTGTGTGTGTGTGAGAGAGAGAGAGAGAGAGACTGAGAGAGACAGAGAGAGGAGGATGTCTTCAATACAAATAACTTATTTAAGTTCACAGTTGACAAATAGACATAAGAAAAGAAAACAAGCGGTGAGGCTACCTTGTATAGCGCCAGGCCGTAAAAATCGGTCCCCGGGGCCGTCTGTATCACCTTCCTATGCCGTCCAAGTAAATCCACAGACTCTAATGTATCTTTTGCGTTATCCGCCCAGTACAAGAGATCACGTGACATGTCTATCACCATGGCGCCCGGAGATACAAGTCCCGAATTGACGAGAATCTCGCGATTTTCTCCCGAAAGCGTGGATTTCTCGATTCTGGGAGCTGCTCCTCTGTCGCTCCAGAACAAATGCCTGTTGTTAAAATAATTCATAATTACCAGTAATTGATATGAGAACAAAACTTATATAAACGATAAATTTTAAGGGTAATTATCTTTAAAATATTAAAAATTTTAGTTTGCGCTCTAAGAAAAAGTGGCCAAAGACTGGGAAAAGAAGGAGGACAAACTGGAGAAGAGACAGTTTATAAAACAATCCGTCCATGTTTTCCTCTTTGCCAAGCCTCTGGGCCGTAACAATTAAACTGTTTCTCGAGGCGATTCAAACCTCGCGATGTTGGTTCTTGCATATTTTGGATTCGCTGCAAATGGATATAACCAACCAAAGTGATTATAAACAGCCAACTGAGTATAGGGACAGACACGCAGAGCGCATTTAGAACAGCGGACTAACAGATCCGCGGATTAAACATGGTCGTCCCACTTGAATGTCCGTTGCGTGATCCCCACAAAGAATCTATTCAGTGTCTAATCTGGAATTAACCGGGAAGCTTTTAGAGGGTTGCCATATTTGATCCTCGGATCAGTTAGTCCGCTGTTCTGTATGCGCTCACAGACAAACAAACACAACAGATACTCTTACCCCTCGTGTGGGTGAACAGCGACCCCCATGGGGGTATCCAGGTCATCAAAGAGCACCCTGTACGCTCCAGTCTGCTCCGTGGCCGGTGCCACCACTAACCAGTTATACACGGCGTCCACCCAGTAGATATTCCCCGCCACCCAGTCCACGGCAAGACCCTCCACGCGACTGGAAATCCCGCCAAAAATCGTGAAAGCGTGCGTCGACCCGTTAAGCCGTAATCCTTGAAGCTTCTTGTTCCCCCGATCGCTCCAGTAGAGGATTTTCTGTCGATAGTCGTGAGCCAGGGCGACGAAGTGCCAGTCTTTGTTTGGGGCGGTGATGTAGCGAGTTGAGGCTTTCTTGCTTTCCACCCAGTCTGCCGGGTCACCAGGGATACCGACGATACGAGCGACACCTGACGGACTGCGCTGAGCCCAGATCAGATTCTGACCGTGTGTGACTGGAAAACATATTAACCATTTTCGATATATATGGTTTCAAAATGATGGAATCGATTGTTTGCTTTTTTCTTTCTTTTTTCTTTTTCGTTAAAAACCTTCAGGATAATTGTATCTATTTTTTATTCGTACTATAATCTCTTTTGGAAGAAATATTTTTTATCCAATCAATGTCTATTTTATGATTATTTATTTACTACTATGAAAATACATGTATGACTGAGCAACCATTCATCCATGCATTATTTTTTATCATCTATATATTTACTTCTGTTTATTTTGGGAATATTGAAATTATATTTCTTGCACTTCTTACCTAATTCACATTTTCAGTTTAGGTATATGATTGTAAAGCATTGGCTTTTACAGCAATATGACCTTTTAGTAAATCATTCACATGTACATTCGCTTTCTCATGTCCTATTTACTTAATTAGAAGTCTGCTTATTTGTCGATATACATTTTAATATATTTTATAAAAATTGGCATTGGTAATGCTGGGTCAAAAAATTATCATATAAGTTTCTTTGTCCTCAGTATTTGCCAGGAACCCACACAAGATGCGGACGTCTACCACTCATCGCATTTGTAAGAAGACGTCTCGAATTCACGTAATGTGTAGTGAAAAACGTGGGATGATCTCATTAACTAAAACAACATAAACAGTAGGACCAACTTAACAACGATCTCCTCCTACTGGTATATAAGCTGCCACTTCCTGTTCACTTCAAACTCTGAGTTCGGACAAGGCCTCATTAGATCGAAAATAGGCCTGACTGTCACCCTAAAGCAACAAGATAGAAGAACGAATCGTTCAATTTTATTTGTACCTCAAATCTGCCTGATTCAGGTTAGACGTTCATTCCAGAGCCATGCAGGTCCGGGTAAGCGTGAAGCACGATGATAGTGGGTTGAATTTTTGGACAAACCAAAAGGAACCAGAAATTGTCTGAAAAGCTCCTCCCAGGTTCCTGGCACCGGTCAAAAATGCACCCAAGTATGTGAGCAACATTATTCATTCCTATATATTTCCGATTATTCTCCTTAATGTACGTGAAGACATATACTTTGCTATTTCATGATCTAATTTTTTATATCATTATATGCACTTAATTTTTGATGATTTATGTAACTATTTCATTTTATATGCATATTTTTTTCTTTTTTCGCTGAGTGAATAAAGTTGGAAAAAAATTAATGTTCTCGTACATTCAAACTCCAAATTTACTATTACTTCTGAAAACAATACCACTATGAAATTTTTCTAGAAGAGAAGATATCTTTTGTTTTTCCACTTGTACATTGTATGTAGTTGTTCTGTCTATTTTCATTAATCCCAATCATAGAGTTTAGTACGTACTGGTGCGTCATGCAAAGAATCATTTCCGAACGGACATTTATTGTAAAATGCTAACATTTACATAAAGCCAGAAACTGTATTTATAAAACCCCAAAAACATTTACAACATAGATGGCTTCATATTCTTTATTTGATAACAAAATTATTAGAATAAAAACTGTATTCAGATGAATTTAAGGGGGTATTTTTCTCCTCAATTATAAAGTCCCATTGGTTAAAATTATTCTAATTAATTAATACCGGATGAGGGCATTTCAAAAAGCACGGTAATAGCGTAGTACAATTTCTGTCAAACCGGGAATGCAGCGTGTTGAATATAATTGTACAGTTAATTTTATAATTTTACAGTTAATTTTATAATTTTAAGGTTAATTTTATAATTTTACAGTTAAAAGCCATACATACATGTAAAAACACAAATGTTCACAAAAAAAAAAACAAGCAACAGATTAAGACACCCAGCTAAAATATACAGGTGTATATTGAAGAATAAATGCATAAACAACTGAGTAGGTCATGGCTACAGTGTGAAATACTGTTCACGTATCTCAGTTCTCGCCCCCAGCCATCAACAGAATACATAGCTTTTATTGTCGTGGACTTTTTTATCTCTGAAAATGGCCCATTAAACGGCAATAGGAGATGTCTCATCGTGGTGATGTGAATATGGGTAAAATGTTTGTGTTGGAAAAATGACCACCAGTTAATGAATTTCCCCGATATCAAAATATCTGGTTGTCTCACAAGGACAGATAGTTTGCCCCCCCCCTCTCCCCCCCCCTGCCCCCCCTCCATTATTTATATATAATTTTTCAACCATATCAGTAGCAATTGCGGGAAGCGGGAGAAGGCGGCTTAAAAGAATAGCTTTCCGGTGAATTCAAGTAACTTAAAAGTTTTCTACGGGACCTGTGTCTTATAGTTGTTTAGGTAGCGGGTTGAAAGAAAACCTTCCCGTAAACTGAAGTTTCTTAAAATTTGGTTCCTACCTGCCTGTGTCTTATCACCTAATATGTGAAAGCGTCAATAGGAACGAGGGAATAAACTTAAAACGACTTTTATGAACAACAGAGAGAAACAACCTACATTGCTATTGTCCTGACAAGCACAGGAAATGAATTCATAAACAATTCAACAAGTAATACAAGCTAAATTACCAAATCCATGCATTTCTCTATTGAAAAAAATGCACTGTTGAACCAAGGGACACCCCCTCCCACTCCCCCCATAAGATCTCCAAATCTTGCAAATTCAAAAAAATTATTACATCCAACGTTAGATACTTTTTTGATTAATATAAACACACAAAAAAAACTCAAAAACACGATTTTAAGCGTAGTTAACCCTATCACCGGCCTTAAAATGACTCTAAAATCTCTATAGCACGTAGCATCCCTTGTGTTCAACCGAACGAGGTATAAAACAAACACGCACTTACTTGAGGTGACGCTTGAGACACAAAAAAGAGATATAACAGCAAGTCTCAGCCCGTGACATACTCCCGAACACATAGCAAGCTCGTCGCAACAATCAATTCCCGGTCTGTACACTCATTAAGCCGCGTAAGAAAATAACAGCTTGGCCTGCGTCTGGGTGTCATATTAAGGCAGTTAAATCTTGATAAGTTCTTCTCATTATAAGCTCAGAAACAGTAAGAAAAGCGTAAGGGAAATACCGATGGAGAGACTTCGGATGCGTCAGCTCGTGAGCGGAAGCATGGCCACGTTGTGATATGAGCGTTGACGGCAGCGATTGGTGAGGACCGTAATTGTTCAGTGAATTCGACCGAAAAGAATTGATGCATTTCCGCCATGGGATATTGTTAGTGGTCTTTTGAAATGTTGTTTAAAGAGTTTTTTTAGAAAGTTAGTTGGCTGCGTCTGTGGGAAAGGGTTTTCTTATGAGTACACAGCAATAAAAATATAAAGATTTAGAGTGTTAAAGTGTTTAAAACCTGTATCATTACCGTAGTTAAAATACATATAGACAGGGAGAGAGGGAGAGAAAGGGGGAACACGAGGGTAAAAAACTGCCCTTTGTTAGGACTGTTACTTAAATCTTAACCAAGAAAAAATTAAGTGGTTGAATAATAATAGCATTATACAACTTTATTCACTGTTGGTGGTGGTGTATATGTGTGTGTGTGTGTGTGTGTGTGTGTGTGTGTAAGAGAGAGAATGAGAGAGAGAGATGATCAGTCTCGGGTCTCCCCGCTTTCAAGCCTCTAAGCCGCCTCCAGGTCGCAGCAATTAAATTGTGTCTCGGGGCGTTGTAAACCCCGCAAGTTGTTTTTGCATATTAGGGATTCGCCAGAAATGCTTCTAACCAACCAAATGAATATAAACACCCAACTAATATGCCCGGCTTCACGCAGCCTATGTTCAACAAGTTCGAATCTTGTTGGTGCGTCTGAATTTGCTTTCCTCATCCTGTAATTCATCTGTGAACAGACATTATTTCTCAATGAATCGTGAAGAATGACACTTGTGCTTTTTAAATCTTGAAATGCATTTACTTATGATAACAAATAAATCTTTTACTATTTGTAAAACTATTTTTTACGATAACGCGTGGGACTTAAACAAAATGAGATTCTATGTCGGCATATCAGTTCCCAGATTCAAAAACATTCGAGCGCTACATTCGTTGAATGCTATTAAATATGACATCAGTTTGGGGAAAACTTGCTTAGAGCAGTTTGATTTATATCAAACACTAACGCCTACAGGCGTTATAAACTTGTATGTTGATCCCATATGTAAACAACGTTTATCAAAACGCCTTGCTCGTCTTTCACTGGTTTTCCGGCATCGCGTGGCGCGTCCGACCACGTGACATTTTCCATAAACGCCACGTTCTCGCGTGATTGTTGAATAAATTGCCTGCAAGTGTACGCACCAAATAGTTTGCATGCTGTCACGTTTAATTCCCTTTGATGTAATACATACATTGCGTATTCATGAGTTTAGGCGTTTCTTTTAAATTTAATGATTTCATTGCGTTTCCAATCACTACCAGCCTCTCCCCCCTTTAAAAGTGACATGTTTAAAACATTCACTCAATATTCAGTTGGCTAAATAATCCAATATTAATGTTATTATAACATATGTACGCTGTTGTCAACTGCTGCTGTATATTTTGCTCGAAGTAAACTTGTATAGTTGAGAAGATTTTTTTAACTTTCCATTTCCACAAAAAAATTAGAAAGCATGTCTGCGAAAGACTTTGACTTCGGGACTTAAGTCACACTGACGTCAGGAGACCATTCATAGTCACCAGTGTAGTGAAGACTACTCACTATTACACTGTCCTAGAGTTTGGCTGTGACCTCCCCCTACCCCTGCCCCCCCCCCCTTCCCTGACCGTCCTGTAGTATTATAAGTGACGTAGCAAAGACGAAAGTGACAACATAATACTGATTTTCTCAAATGTGGACTTGGCCTTTATTTCTTGGATAATCTTGCACACAAATTAATTCTGAGACCCGATATACATGTTTATTGACAATAGTTTTGAATGTGTATCAAAATTATACACACATGTTGAAACATGATTGTAAGTTTCAAGTATGTTCTGTATAAAACGAACTGATAGACTGTTGTCTTTTATAATCTCTTCAATATATACAAACGTTTTGAAATAACAGCTATACATATAGGCTAAATGCATTTAAAACGAGTGCAGATATATATATTATAAGGATAAAACTAAGCAATTATTTTTTAGATATAATAAAAGACATACACAGATATTCTACACAAACGCCCTTTGCGTTTTCCAAAGTTGGGTTAAAATTGGGTATGTGCTGAACGAGAGATTTCCCAGAGATTTAATTTCATAACCCCATCATTAATTATTGTTTATAATTGTGCTTGGAAAAAATCTTCCGAACGTACATTTCATTTTTAAATCGATTTTTAAGCGAAATAAGTGTTTTCTAGTATGATTTGAACTACCGGGACGCTTTGGGTACTTCTTGGTCAAACCCGTAACCAAAGCGCTACGCCTTTTCAAATACAGATGCGCTTTATAAAGTAGTGCCTCTGGCTTGTGAAATATTACCTACAGAAATAGTCGGATGATCCGTGGGTTATATAGATTGGCAATTTCCTAATATAGCCTTAAGGTCCGGGCCTTCGTGTAACAGAGCCTTCGGCGAACACGATCTCGGTTTGTGAAATGTTGGAATAAGGTTAAACCTGAGACGTAAGAACCCGCTTGGCTGTGCTACACGCGTATGTACAGAAATGAAAGGAATAAGTAAGTTGAATTTGGTGTGTCTAAGTTAATTAAAGAGCCCATTCAAGCTGATTCAGTTAACATTTAAAATTCCTCCAATGCAAGGTTCCAAAATGTGTTGTGCCTTTGGGTACTAGAACTATTTAACCTAACACCTCCAGTTTTGAAGGTTGTGTTCAGAAGCTTAATTAAAAAAGACTAACAGAGCAAAAAGCACTACAGTCATTCTGGTGTCAATAAGACAACGCACGAAAAAACAATCAAAGACGCATGATTTCTGATGACCTTGTCTTTGAATTATTATGGCAGCGTCTTTGGTTTTAGCGGAACAAAACCCGTGCATTTTATTGATATCACAGTGGTAGGAAGTTGATGCGTTTTAGCGCGTGGTCACATGTGTGTGTAAGTGTGTGTTTGTACGCTTAAGCATGTCTTTGAGATATAGTATATGACACCCGTACATAATACCAACATATAGCGCGTTAGGAAGCAGCAACATCACCAAAGTACATGTACATTTGCACACAAGGATAAAATGAAACTGAACTAAATCCAGATGGCTGCCGCGCAATCCTTAACAGCGAGGTTAGTATTCATTTGTAAGGCACATAAAGCACAGAGAGTATACCGACTTCATTAACAGTGTACAAAAATATATCAGTTACCGATTAACTAATATGATAATAAACTAATTTACTATTAAACCCACGCTGTCGACCCTTTATAATTAGACCATATGTACATAAGGGTGTATGTAACGCATCCGTTTTTTTTTTATCTCAAACACGCAAAAATTCACATGAGATGTAAGTGGAATGTGACGAAGTATGTAGAAATATGTGCTTTCTATACATTAGGCGTGCTTTAATAACCAAACATATGTTTAGTAATATAAAATTTAATAATGAGTCCGCATTATTTTTCTGTCCCATTGAAATGTTTGCAGAATGTATATTTTCTGTGATGCTTCAAATAAGCCGTCATATTTAAATCTCAACAACACATTGATAAAAAAATCTTGAACCTACTTAAAATATTCGTTTATGAAATATTTGGGCCTGCAGTTTACATTTTGGAAATATCATTTGAAAATTTCTGTTTTCTGGCCAAATTGACTTTTTGAGGTGAAAAATAACTTTCGTCACAATGGGGCATTATAAACATTGCAATATTTATGGTAAATTTTGCTACGAAATATTTCTTTTTGCTGTATGTACATAGTGTCATATTGTTTGGCATAAAACGAACGGTTAAGTTTGGAGTTAACACATATTTAAACCAGTGTTTTTTCTAACAAATGTTGTAGACTCACCACCGGAGTGCCTATGCAAAAAAAATCACAAAGAACATTATAACATTGCATTCAGCACGCCCGTCGCTATGCAGTCAACGCGCTCTATATAGGTAAACAGGTTTTTGTATCACAGAACTGATAACCCCAAAAAAATGTATGCTCTTCAGTGTCCTACGCCTTTGTGGTGTCACTTTGCACCTTTAGGACGGCTTGTTGGCTCAGGTCATCAAATTCTCCCGGTTTCTTAGTTGGCGGTGGATTCATTTGATCGTACATTGGGTTCGATATGCCGCCGTCCCCGTTAGCTTGGGCAGTGTTGAGACCTTCGTAGTCATTCTCCGGCTGATTTACCCTGCCAATGGTGGCGTAGTTGGGATCCCCAGGGATTTCGCTGATTTCATTGGAGTGATTGACGTACCTGAACTGGGACGGTTTGCTCAAATCTCCGCGGCTCCTAGAAAAAAAATAGAATACACATTAAAACATGGACGGTTGGAAAAGAATAGAACGTCATATTGACGCCATTTGACGTCATACACATTTGACGTCACAAGAAAGACTCGACGTCACAATTATATTAGAGTAACGTCCTTTATCTGTGGTTCAACCCTTCATCAACGGCTTTGAAGCGTAGGCCTACATATACCTTCTAGTCAGGAAATCGGTGATCACAAATATAATGCTGTCGAAGATTATAAGGACAAGAAATGTGAAGGAAACGTTTAACATGTACCAACAGGGCTTGCTGGAATCATTGGTCGTTCAAATCACTAGTTTCCATTCGAAGTGACCAATCAGATACTTAAAGCATTATCCAAATACACCTGGTAAACGATATCCACTTGAAAACGTATAGTTTAGACCTACTTTTGACCAAAACTCGTCATCTGTTGGCCAAATTGTCAGTTCAGTGTTGCCCCTATTTCACACAGACCACGAATCCCACGAATCGCCAGGAATTGACTAATTTCAGGATTTGTGAGGATGCGTGAGATTACTGAAAATTTTCTGGCCTAATTCGACACGCTCTACGATTCAGTTACGATACAGGTGCGATAGTGTTACGAATATTGGTTGGATTCGGCTGGAATTGCACGAATATTGTCAATAATTCACTATAAAACAGAAAGCCGGAGAGATAATTGCACCATTATTTGTAGAGAGTAGATAACAAAGCAGTGCAACAATACACGGGCACCTCGAGGTTCTAGCACCTCTATCTCGTGAGTCCGGTGTAAAGTGACAGAGAGTCCCCCCAAGATAGAGAGCCCGTTCCCATTCATTAGCACAGATAAGCCTCGCCCTAAATTTTGATCCACTTACGTCAGGCTAACCCTAACCTGTGTAATTAAATGGAGGGTGGGCACTATGTAACGCGGACCTTCAGATTATCACACCGGCTTGAAAAAGATCAGTCCGGAAAAAATGACAATACACAATTCGCATTCATTTATTGCAAATCGTAAAGTTAGCGTACAAGAATACTTACATCCTCCTCCAGAGGAAGAACGCCACAACTCCGATGACAATAAGGATGAGCAGCGCCGCCACTACGATACCTACTATAGCCGGGGTTGCTCCTGAAGCTGAAATAGATACGAATTCAAACAGGTATCACATAAATTAGTGAATCACATACGTACATGAGCATCTGCACACTAGTAATTAATTCTGAACGCTGTCCTAAGAATTGAAAAACGATTTATCTTATGTTTTTATATTCAAATAATTCCCATTCCAATCTTTGTTAACCCGACATAAAATCTTTGTAAAAACAGACTGAATGAGACTTTACAGCCGACTTACCAGCACCGCTACCTCCGGAATTGTTGTCGCCTGTCTGTTTACCGGTGTCGCCGGTTATCACAGATGGACTTTTTGTGGGGATAACTACAAAAAATAAATCAATTAAATATTAATTTAATAAAAGGATGTGCTATAGCTTAACGTAGCATGACCTTCGTTTAAGTCAAACCGAACAAAGGTTGCATGGTTTCAATGGTTCTTTAGCAAATATAAAATTTAAAATCAAACTTTCGTCAGTGGAAAAGTTTAATGATACATCTCTGTGGATAGGTAAGCTATTTTTATTATATTTGATGTTATGATTTATTCAGAGTCTAACATGCACATTTGTTTAATTGACTTTACAATGTATATAAAATACAAGTTAAAGAAACGGTAAATACTAATTAAAAACTTGAATTATGTATGTAACATAAAAAGTCAGTTAAGTCATTAATTATAATAGTTCATCAACAAAGTCACATTGAAATATGCTAGAGCCCATAAAAGATATGTCTTCGGTTCCTTTTTACAAGCCTAAGGAGAAGATATCGCACACACCACACCCCACTATACTTCGCTGGTACCCCAACTCCATCACAAAAAAGGAAAAACAATTAATCAAAGGGGGAGGGGGGGGCGGAGAGGGAAGGTCAGCTTCGCTTCAACGGACCCCCCTTCAAAAGATCCTGGATCCGCCCCTGGTTCCCCTCGTGCCACCACCCCCAGGAAAGTCCTGACTCTGTTATCTTATAGTGAAACATATATACTAAACAACTATTTGAAATTCATCAACTTACGTTCACATGCCCCGATGCTGTTTCTCCACTGAGCCATTTTAGTGGACACAGACATGGTCTTGGCGCACTCAAAGTATCCCTGGACCTGGCCGTCCTTTGTTGCGTATCCTTCCATGCACGTGAAGTAGCAGCTCGCGCCCAGGTGGTTGTTAGTGCTTGGGCACGTTTGATCACGTAACGTCTGGACCGTAGACGTCCCTATATACGGGTTGCACTTTTCAACTAATGATGAAGAAAAGGGAAATAATGATGCCAATTACACAAACCTCACGAAATTTAAAAATGGGAAAGAATTATTTTAATCACATGAACATAAAAGGAAATACTTTTATCTGATGTTACATGCTGGTGTTTTGCTGGACAAAATGGAGTCATCACGAATTGCCCCCCCCCCCCCTCCCATCACTAATAAAACGTTCCTCACTGGACATGATTAATTAAATCCAAATCAAAACCGTAAAAGCGTTAATTGCAGAGAATGCAATTAAAATTGTCTAGACAAAAAGTACCCCTCCACCCAACAATAAAGAAAGAAACAATTTCAGTTTATATACGTTTCAAATTATCTAAGAGGAATACGAAATTGTAAGCATCCCATACATGTAGCCATCTAAGTTGCGTGGTCACGCATACGTACATGTTTTCTTCCTGTGCTGTGTTTACCTGTTATCGTTACAGAAAATGTGCACTTTGCCATATTCCCTGCCGGATCCGTGGCAACATAAATGACGTCAGTTTTCCCTTCACCGAAAATAGTCCCGGGCATAAAAGATTTTACAATTTTTACAGGTGGACTGTCATTGAATGTCGGTTCATTCCATGTGATCCTTTTATGTCGGCTCCCGGTAGAGGCCGCCTCGGTGATATTGGCCGGACAGTTGCTGACTGTTGGAGGACTTGTATCTGGAATGAAGAAAATGCACACATAGTCCCAAAACCAAACGCCTCATTTGTTCTTTTAAGTAAATTACCAGTTATTGGATCCCCCAAAATAACGTAATGGTTTCATGAGTCCTAGACCAGGCGACAATTGTACTTCACATGAACATGTGACATACTAACTCATTCGGACTCACTCACTCAGTATGTACGAGTCCTTTCTGCAATCTGTGAATCCTTCAATACTCTCAAACGAGTTATTCAATTCTACTTATTGGCCGCGATTCGTTAAGAGATGTGAAGATCCCCGTCAGTGGTGACAGACATGCTGAAGACAGAGAACGTTCACAACAAAAAGAAAACAGTCATTCGAAACCCTGGCAACAAACAGAAAATCAGTTATCTAAGACAAGGACGTTTAATACACACTGGTAGATCTGCTCTGCAAGTAACCAAAAGTGAAAATTTGCCTCATCCAAAAAAATTTTTCGCAAAAGAAATGACACTCAGGGCCAAAAAATAAAGAGAATAATACAGATAAGTGTCAGAAATATCAAATCGTCGCCATCGTTTTCTTTTAACAAATCACCTCGACAAATGCTTCTCGAAACAGAAGACCACTCTTTGCTCCATAGACACGTGATGTTCACGTTATCAGAAGAGTAGCCTCTCTCACACGTGACCCGACAGGAACTTCCGGCCTCCATGTTACATCTGGGCCCTATCTCTCCATGAGGGATTGTCGGCGAAGGACAGTGTACAGTTGTTGCTAAAAGGATGCGATGTGTTGTCAATAAGGCGGAGTTATATTGCATAGCTGTGCGACCCATTTATTTAAGTCTGGATTGGATTTCTCGAAAGTCTACTTACATTATTTTTTCAGATAAGAACAATATTTAACCATTTTCTAATTTTGTTCAGCTTTACCGCGATATTTAAATGTGCACACTGTATACTTGTACGTAAAAAAAAAACTAAACGCATAACCATAACAGGCACACAAGGCACATCTGTACATATTTTTATACGACTAAATATTATTACACATGTACTAAGTACAACCGTACTTGCTTAACACAATTGAGAGCGCTCACAAGTCTGAATATTCAGGATACTTAGACAAAAATACATTCACATCTTCACGCACAAACAAACAGAACAAATAAACACACAGACACAAAAAATAACAACAAATTTATTTTAGCTAATTCTGAGTGACAGTTCTCATCTTCGCCCCGTGTACCTGTTACAAGCACATTGAAACTACAGCTGCCGAAGTTGCCGTAGGCATCCCGGGCTGAAAACACAACATTGGTGGTGCCGATTCCAAACTGTCCCCCTGACCGGAAATTGCTGCTTAATGTGACGTCACTGGCATCTTTTACAACGGGCGCTGGCCATGTGACCGCTCCAAACATTCTCCCGGCATCTGCGGAAATGGTGACGTCACGTGGACAGGTGACGTTGGGTGGCTCGGTGTCTTCGAGTGATAAGATTATAAATTGTTTGAACACTCTAAGAAGGCATCACGCAGCAAGAGGAAACTATTGCCAAAACTATAATCAGTAGAAGAAGAATCGCAATAGTACTCGACAGTAACGCATAGATCATACAGATGTCTTGTAGAGGCAAAGGGTAGGCTGAAGTAGGATAGAAGGATCGTCTACTTCAAAGCCATAATTGAAATGAAGAGAAACCATGTGCAACATACGATATAGAGCAAAAAACACTCAGCTCTGAGTAGAGCCAGCCAGTGAGTTGATAACCCATTGGCTCAGTCAGAAAGGATCAGTAGGATGTTGTAAACAGAAAGAGTATTTAGAACCATGACAAAAATGGCATACGTTTAAATAATAACACGGTATTGCATGTTAACCATTATGTGGTGGCTTATGCTTTTTTATGTTTTTTTTTTCAATTTTCAGAATGAAAAAAATTTAAATTAAAGACGTCGTAGAAACAACAAAAAATAGACACATAATTACATTATAAAAGATTGTTTAAAAACTCCCTGATATCGCTGTATAACCAAACGCACGCTTTGTCTTTAACATACAACACAACGTCCCATATAATTGGCCTATATGTCTTCATCATTATAAATATCACAAACAAATCTTAAATACCTTGGTCTTCACAAAGAATTACAACAAAGTATATACTGAATACGCGTGAAAAATGAAGACCAAGAATGACACTTACCCACGCAGACGGAGCTAAGATCTCTACTCCAGACGAGGTCAGCCGTACACGTGGTGTACAGGGACGCTGGGTGAGTTCCGTATCCGGTGTCACACACGACGAGGCAGGAAGCACCCTTCGTTATCCCGCAGCCATCTTGTAATTTGCCGTTTCTCACCACGGGAATCGGGCATTCTAGGGCTATTGACATAATAATAATAATAATAATAATAATAATAATAATAATAATAAAAATAATAATAATAATAATGATGATGATAATAGATTCATAATTCGGTTGATTGATCTATTAAATAAATTATTGCAAACAAAATAAAAGGCTTTTATTCTGAAGACAGTACGATATTATCATTCAATTATTGCCTCCGTATCCTTATTTTATTTTAAAACTTTAAACTTTTCACTTGATTGTTTGTTCTTTGTTACTCGGCAAACAAAAAAAGAGTTGAAGATTACGTAACCGCTCATCTTGTGAATGGAAACTACCATTTGTACTTACTAAGGTAAATAGAAATGCTTCACAGTACTTGCAATGTTAAAATACACCCAGTAACAAAAAAAAAAAAAAACACAAATGTTTTTCCAAACAACTAAACTAAAAATGGCACCTGCTTAAAATTGTACATGTTAAGGCACATGCAACATTCAGTGTATATATATTCTCCACTAGATAAAGAACAGAAATCAAACCGACATGCCGTCCCCAAACAATTCAACATTACATGTAGTGTGTACAAATACAATTATAATGGACAGTACACATAAAACGGGACGGTATAAATACTATCCTCACTATATAGACCGGCTTTGTGTGACGACTAGTACATGTATTGATTTGGTCATAGCCTTGCTACAACGTTTTTTAAAACGTTAAAATATTTTTTAAATTCTTTAAAATCATTTGTTAAAACATGTATATGCATATAAATATTGTTTATATACAAATGATATACCTCAACAATAACGCTATGTCAAACTATGCGCAAGAAAAAAAACTTGCTGCCAAATCAGTCTAGTCGTCAACGCAACCAGTCTACAACCCTCGCTACAGCTATATTGGACATGCTAATATTGCGACAAAACATATGTGCTATACGTCATAAGCGCGGGAAGCAGGGTAGGGACTGTAGCTAAGATCTGCTGCTCTCTTCTTTGAAAAAAAAGATAATCACATTCTGAAGTCACTAGAAACTTAAGTCAAACTAAAAGAAGTTTTTCTTTAATCTTAATTACCCCTTACACACATACCCGTGCACTCGCTTTAAAATCTGCATATCACATGTTTGAACATAATTTATACCACTGCCTCGTGCATATAGGGTGGTTAAGGTATATGTGTGGACAACGAAAATACACAACAGCAATAAAACAGGATTCTAAGTTAATATTCGTGATGGTACTGTGTGTAGGCGTGCAAGGTATAACAAGTTTTGTCCAATCAAACAGCCCATCATTGCATGCGGGATCAAAACTAATTAATTCATGAACCCAAACTTAAAAAGCAACCAGGATATAAATCTGGGGAACCAGTTTTGTCACAAATGCTTTTACCTTTTGCTGAAACAGAATTGTAAAAAGGAGAGAATGAATTTAGTTCTCTGTTTTCTGAAGACATACTATCTTCCATTCTTTGCGATACTGTTGTGCACTATACATTTGGGCAGAAAATTTGCTCATCTAAACTGATTTGCTGACAAATGCATATCATTAACAGATTGATTATTCAACAACACGTGTTTCACCTCATTCTTTTGCCTCCATTGTCATTATCTCATATTATTTTCTGTAGGAGAGATATTAATCAAATACGCCAGTCGGATCACATCCAAATGAATAAATACAACATAATATTAAAGCACTACTTTAGCTGACATACTCAGAGTAAAATAATAATTAAATAATAATAATAATTATTATTATTATTACTTCACTGCTGTGACCAGAATATTATAAAAAAAAGATATACCAATGATAACAACAACAAATAAATTAACTATAATTTTATTGACAACAGAGTTGTTACTCACGTATTTCTTCACACAAGGTGTTGAAATCATCAGCGTCCCACTGCTCGTTGCTGCCGCACGTGAGCAGCTGTGTGGAGTTCCGCTTCCGGTAGCCGGTGTCACATAGAAAGTCACACACCAACCCGGCGCGGTACACACAGGCGGGACTCCACAGACCGTTTTTGATAGGGCTTTTGGGGCACGACGCAACTGCAATACCAAAAAAAACGGGAATGAACACAGTGCATCACCTGCGAAAATTTGTCTCATTGAACGATCACCTACGGTTCTACTGTCCTAGGGACAATGTTTTTCTCTTTTAATGAAAAATGTTCTTGATCTGTTCTAGGACATTCGAGTACAAACCCAGGTGACAGTTTCACAAACTCTATTATTTACCAATATCGTTCTCCTACAACATGTAAGCCTTATCTCAATTAGGCAGATCTACAGATATTATCTGACAGTCTTCCTAATAATCTTTGATGATCCATCAACCACTTTTGACCGTTTTCTGACAGAAAATACATGCCCGTCAACGTAAGTTCTGGCAGTGAAAGGAAAATACAACTGTCATTGTTTTCTTAATGATTGTCTTGTTGAGCAGTAAAATATATCAATACCAAAGCTGATTTACGTAATTTACATTTGCAGTAAAATATAAGCGCCTAACACTTACCGTTATCACAATTTATCCCATCATCTTTGAGCGTTGCGCCGTCTGGACATGCGCACTGTGTACCATTGTCCTTGTTGATTAGACAAATATGACTGCACGGATGGTTACCACACACTGCCTTGGCTGAATCACAGAAATCAAATTATAATCAGTGTCTAGTATTTGACATTTACAAGAAAAGATTTTACAAGAGAAACGCGACATTCTTGCTTAACATCCATGTTTTCTGCTGTGCTGTCTGTTCCTGATAGGGTAAGATGTGCGCATGTGATCATGTAGCGTTTGTAGTCAATTCTTAAACAGGTAATCCGACTTAAGTTTTTTTAAACTGGGGACAAATGCTATAAAACCCTCTTACGTTTATATTCTTTGGCACGTTGGACCACATGCAGGTCAATAGCAGAACCCAAAACTCCGGGAATGAGCTCTTCATCGGCTCTGTCTGCAGCGCCAGCTATCGGTATTTTGTGTAGGGACCTGTGATGTAAAGAACAACAAATGGTTAACCCATTGTGACATTGTGAAACGCGATTAAAACCCTCGAAGACAGTAATAAATCAACGTGAATATAATTTCAAAACACTTTCTTTAAGTTAAAATTATTAATATCGAGCATATGAAACAAACACTTCGTGTATCGATTAACATGGGCATTGCCTCCAAAAGATAAAAAATGTTTTAGAGGTGATAATGAGAGAAAACGTTTTCAAAAAGAAGATGACTGATCTTGTTAAATGTCTTGAATCAGCCTTTAAATGAATTCATGTTACGTAGTCAGAAAAAATAAGCATTCAGTTGCAACATTTATGCTACAACAAGCAACGTTTCACTCAAAACTTTTAACTGAAATCTGATAGTCACTATTATGATGTACAAGGGCGATTTTCCTCAATGGTCGCTTGCAAAATGGACCCAAATGCAACAATTCTCATGGGGACCGTTCGGACTGCGTTCGATCGCAATAGCTACTGCGCACTTATTCCACGGACACTCTCGCTGAATACAATCATANTCCGGTAGCCGGTGTCACATAGAAAGTCACACACCAACCCGGCGCGGTACACACAGGCGGGACTCCACAGACCGTTTTTGATAGGGCTTTTGGGGCACGACGCAACTGCAATACCAAAAAAAACGGGAATGAACACAGTGCATCACCTGCGAAAATTTGTCTCATTGAACGATCACCTACGGTTCTACTGTCCTAGGGACAATGTTTTTCTCTTTTAATGAAAAATGTTCTTGATCTGTTCTAGGACATTCGAGTACAAACCCAGGTGACAGTTTCACAAACTCTATTATTTACCAATATCGTTCTCCTACAACATGTAAGCCTTATCTCAATTAGGCAGATCTACAGATATTATCTGACAGTCTTCCTAATAATCTTTGATGATCCATCAACCACTTTTGACCGTTTTCTGACAGAAAATACATGCCCGTCAACGTAAGTTCTGGCAGTGAAAGGAAAATACAACTGTCATTGTTTTCTTAATGATTGTCTTGTTGAGCAGTAAAATATATCAATACCAAAGCTGATTTACGTAATTTACATTTGCAGTAAAATATAAGCGCCTAACACTTACCGTTATCACAATTTATCCCATCATCTTTGAGCGTTGCGCCGTCTGGACATGCGCACTGTGTACCATTGTCCTTGTTGATTAGACAAATATGACTGCACGGATGGTTACCACACACTGCCTTGGCTGAATCACAGAAATCAAATTATAATCAGTGTCTAGTATTTGACATTTACAAGAAAAGATTTTACAAGAGAAACGCGACATTCTTGCTTAACATCCATGTTTTCTGCTGTGCGGTCTGTTCCTGATAGGGTAAGATGTGCGCATGTGATCATGTAGCGTTTGTAGTCAATTCTTAAACAGGTAATCCGACTTAAGTTTTTTTAACTGGGGACAAATGCTATAAAACCCTCTTACGTTTATATTCTTTGGCACGTTGGACCACATGCAGGTCAATAGCAGAACCCAAAACTCCGGGAATGAGCTCTTCATCGGCTCTGTCTGCAGCGCCAGCTATCGGTATTTTGTGTAGGGACCTGTGATGTAAAGAACAACAAATGGTTAACCCATTGTGACATTGTGAAACGCGATTAAAACCCTCGAAGACAGTAATAAATCAACGTGAATATAATTTCAAAACACTTTCTTTAAGTTAAAATTATTAATATCGAGCATATGAAACAAACACTTCGTGTATCGATTAACATGGGCATTGCCTCCAAAAGATAAAAAATGTTTTAGAGGTGATAATGAGAGAAAACGTTTTCAAAAAGAAGATGACTGATCTTGTTAAATGTCTTGAATCAGCCTTTAAATGAATTCATGTTACGTAGTCAGAAAAAATAAGCATTCAGTTGCAACATTTATGCTACAACAAGCAACGTTTCACTCAAAACTTTTAACTGAAATCTGATAGTCACTATTATGATGTACAAGGGCGATTTTCCTCAATGGTCGCTTGCAAAATGGACCCAAATGCAACAATTCTCATGGGGACCGTTCGGACTGCGTTCGATCGCAATAGCTACTGCGCACTTATTCCACGGACACTCTCGCTGAATACAATCATATGNACAAACAAACTAACAGACTTCCACAGCAGCTACTGAGACGTATCTGATTCTAAACGATTCCACTGCTACACTTACCTTGTCCATGTATCAGTGAAGTAAAGGTTACTATCGGATATAGCTAAGCCGTGGAAAAAGGAACTCCGTTTAATGTATATAGTATCTCTGTTTGATCCATCCAGGTTCGATGCCTCAATTTCTTCATACCACCCTTCTGCCCACATAATTTTGCGACCTGAAATTACATAAAAAAGAGAAAATAATGAAACAAGAAGGTGACAGAACATATGAATCATTATATACAAGTGAGTATCTCTCGTATTGCCCCAACCACCCACCCTAAACACCCGCATTCTCATTAACTCCACACACATATCTTACCGTCTCAATTCAACCACACTAAGCACCTAACACCCCATTTCCATAGATTTTTAGATCGATCTATCCCTATGGGGAGTCTCACTAGATTACTGTCAGCTTGGCCGGCTTAAGCGTCTGTCCCGCCTACTAAAAGCTGTAAGGGGGTAATTAACTATGGTGCGCGCTCGTCTGACTGCAATTTAGCGTGAGCCCCCAGGGAGTTAGGTCGATCTAAATTTTAATCCCTGGATCGATCTAAATCTCTGGAAATACAATCTTATTCACCCTAATTTCTGATATAAAACTTACCCGGAACATCAATGGCTAAACCGAACGGGAAATACAGGTATGACGTCACTATTTCCTCTCTTTCGCTACCGTCGTAGTATGCCCTATTTATGCTTTCAGTTGCGCCCCAGTCGGCCCAGTAGATACGACTACATAAAGAAAAAAAAGAATATGAAAGTGAAAGTATAAAATAACCGAGTCTCAAGTATTCGCTGCTGAAAGATTCGAAGAAAGCTAACAGGTTTTCGTTGCACTTTCGAAGATGCTCCTAATATGCAGATAAATGTATGTTTAAAGACTTTATAGCACTTTATAACACTTTATAGTTTTTTTTCCAAAAATCTTTGGTTTGCAGCACGGGAAATTCGAACAGGTACACCATGTCAAGGCGGTTACACAGACCTATCGTTTCATGCACAAACAAAAAAATCATCGTTCAAAATGAAATCTTTCGAACTAATGGGTTCTAACTTTACGAGTAGTCTCTCCCTAAATGCAACCGGATAAACTGATTATCACATCTCCTTCTGGTGCTAAGTAAAATACAGAAAAGCTGGTGCGTATACCAGTAAGTTGGAAACAAGAAGAGGCGTCTTAGCCTGTTAAATTTCTGGTTGCTTTCAGCAAGAGTCCCCGTGGATTTGACCCGCGTTAGCTAGGTCGACTTATTTCATTGTGACGGTCCCTTAAAACATTCATCACAGCTTTTTAGAACACAGCAGTATTTTACTCACTTCTCCCAAGGATCAATCTCTATGTCACGTGGTCGGTATAGTCGAGAGTTTATGACGGTTTTGAAGTTTTTCCCAACCAAGTCCAGAACTCCTATCAGTGTCCTTCCATCGTCAGTGACGAACAACAGTCTGTTGGATACATCGAGGGCCATACGCTGTAAAATGGCCGCTGAACAAAAAATGGAAAGTTGCGCAATAAATTATAATGTTCATTGGCATCATTTTTGCTATCTTTATTAGGTAAGTTAGTTATGTCTTTATTTATTTATTTATTTATTTATTTATTGGCGAGAAAACGTTGGTGGCGGCGGTGCGAATATAAGCAGTGAATGTGAAGTAGGGTCGCTTTGGAGGCGGGGGGGGGCATGCAGAGCAAATTTTGCTTTTAGGCAGACCACCTGGTAGTGGTGGTATGGGGACATTGCTACATGTAGATTTTCTTCCAAATGCCGGGTGTCATTAGTGTCTCAACTACATTTCAAGTATTTGCTCCCATTAAAGAAAACGCCAAAAAAAACGTGTACCTTGCGGGAATTCGTACAGAGTTTCTTCAGCTGATCCGTCTAGCCCCACACTCTTTATGACGTCTGTATCCATCCAAAGGATCTTGCTTTCGGCGGAATCAAATATCACAGCCCTGAAACACATGTAAACAATTATGCGCGCGCAGGTTACTGGCAAATCCAGGTGGTTATTGGATGTAACCTTATTTTAGTGCAGCGCATGTCTCTCTTCCGATTTATTACTGTATTACCCGTTTGTTTACTGATTCGTTCGTCTGTGATTTACTGTTGTTCTTGATACGTAATCTAATTTTTATAATATTTCGAGAGAGAGAGAGAGAGAGAGAGAGAGACTCAGCCTTACCTCGGGTAGTCGTGATCTGATCCCAGTTTGACTGCGTTGTAAGAAGACCCATCCAATGCGATCTGAAAAATTTCCTTTCTTCCTGGGTCGGTCAGCAAGACAAAATTGTCTTGTAACAAGGCTGAAATTACACCAACCAATACACTGTCATACTTGCACCCCTAGTATTTGCATGTCCTCACAAATAAAACACCTTTGTAGAACCAAACAGAATGCAAATGTTCGCGTTCTCGAGTTGTTGTGACATCAAATTCATTATAATAATAATAATAATAATAATAATAATAATAATAATAATAATAGTAATTTTTACTCAGCCAATATATTTGTGTAAAATACTTTCATAAATTTTAATTCTGTCCGAGCTCTTAAAATAACATATATAAATCGAAAAATAGCAAACTAAATAGTAATCAATCTTTTGTAAGCATAACTACCCACTTGTTGTACAAGATGTTGATCCGGTAAGGCTAAAACCCACAGAGCATGCGCACTTGAAACCGAGGATAGGTGTCGGCAAGCACAGATGGTCACAGCCGCCATTAGCCAAGCTACATGGTACTGGAACCAAAATAATATTACACGATTAACAGCAATTCCAGATATGTCCAGTACGAAAGAATGATCAATGTTGTTGTATAAAAGAAATTGAGAGTGATTTTTTAAGATGAAGACCAGTTACCATAGATTTCGTTATATATTCCATTGAAAAGTATGTCTTTAAAATGCAGATAGAAGGGATGCAATTACCAATCAGACTGAACCAGAACTCAAAATACGCATCTGGTCCAGATGATAGTAAAAACGCGTACTTATTTCTAGGTTGTCCCAACTCTCAAGAGACTGTTATTTTAACACTTTTAAAACACGTACAAAAAATAGATATTACACCTGCTTCATGGATGATTGTTATAATTATTACTATTTTGACTTGCACATGGACGGTATTTACATCTAACATTGCCGCTAGGTGGCTGCACGCTGTCGTCATAGGTGATGACGTCAAGAGCGTCATGATAAGATCCGCTTCTCACAATTCCCTTCACCAAAGTTTGTCCAGTCTTGGTCACGGCGTGGATGCCCATTGCACCACTGTATCTGTCATTGAAGATCACGTAGTTCTGTTGAAAAAAAAGAGTAATACGGTAATGACTCGACTATTTCAACGGGGGGGGGGGGGGGGGTTATAAATTTCGTGGACCGACCCAGCTAGTGCGATGTGTGAATCTGAATGTTCCCCTAAAAGGTAGGCTACAATTTCGGTTTTTAAGTTTAAGTTCTTTTCAGATACATGCTCCAGGCCCTAGTTTCACAAATATAAAAGCTTAAGTCAGTTCCCTGGCTTAGTTGACTAGGATTTCCATGAGATTGCTGTTACACTTCTCCTGATAGGGTAGAATGTGTCCATGTGACCATGTAACCTTGGTAATGAAGTTCTTAGCCAGGAAACCTGACATAAGGTTGTTTTTTTTTTTTTTTTTTTTTTTGTGTGTGTGTGTGTGTGTGTGTGTTTGTGTGTGTTTGAAAACCGGGGGCAGTACTTGCCTTAAATGTGGTCACCCCGAATAATTCCTTCCTTGTGGTGTTATAGATAAGTGTTACATTGTTTCCGTTCACATCCGCCGACATGATCGTATCTGTAGTACCATCTGTCCAATACATTCTGAAAAACGTATTTATTTATTCAGTTACTGATTTTTTCCTTTTCCCATTTCTTTTGTTTTACAACAAAACTTGCTAATATTTCCAGTCAATATAATTACTTTCAATATCATAATTAAAGCAATTAACAATTATAACTGAAGCTCACCCTAAACATAAGATGCTGTAAGCGACATTTTCAGCTTCGGTCACCCTTAATCTTTGCGTGTGAAACAATACCCTTGATGGTAATGTGTTGCTTTAGTCTAAGAATAAAGGAAATCTCACCTTTGATCCGAGAAATCGAAATGGATATCATTCACCCTGCCCAGTGAAGTATTATAAAAGACACTTTGGCCGCTACCGTCCATGTTTGCCTTCCAGATGGTGCTGTACGTTAGATCGTAGGTCTCTACCCAGTACATTAGACTATAGGGGAAAAAAATATATATATAAGCAATCAATGGTATTGTTGTGTGTCGAAACCCTGTATAGAGTCAACATTAGCGTGCTTTACCGCAGATTTGAAAACTACAGGTGTATCATATATTTCAGATATATGACTGCCAGAATTTATACACTGTATTCAACACACCTTGTTTTGAAAATATTGTGTCCGAGTCGTTTTCCGAGAACAAAATGTGTGCAGTACTTAACAGCCACGTCCACATCACAAGTACTCACCCTCTCAAGGGATCAACAACAACGGAACCAGGAGAGGAGAGATTAGTCTTTAATATCGTCTGCCGCCCACCGTCAAGTTTGGCAACCTGTAGAGTTTTGTAAACTTTCTCCGTCCAGTAGATGTGAGAGTTGAGCCAGTCGATTGCCAGACCTGAAAAAAAGTTTAAAGGTTCGTTGTTGGCTTCCAAACGAAGGTCTTATATAAAACATCTCATATTTGGGCCCTTCCAATAAAATGGGTCAACTAAGTACACTATATGTAGCTAATAAATGTTTTATCATTCTTATTATTATTTTATTTTCCTCTGGTAAGCATTTGTCCAAAATCAAGAGGTAAAATGTCTGAACACCCCTGTTTCAAAATCAGTCCAGCAATGGGTGCAAGTCACAAATAAATGACACGCAATCTGAATGCAAAACGAAATAAAAAATGGAAACAGAGGGAGAGTGAGAGAGAGAGAAAGAGAGAGAGAGACGGGCAAGCAGTGATAAAAGTGAGAGAAAGAGAGAGACTTTCTCACCTCCGACCCCATTCACTCCAGCGATTATTTGGATGAGGTCAGACTCAGGTCTGATCAGATTGAGGGTGTAAATGGACCGGTACGACGTGTCCCCAAGGAAAAGCTTGCTTCCCTTCACATCTAATCCGAGAGCTTGGAAGTTATGGTAAGAGAATATGCTTCCCTGTATGATGTCATTCTGGCTGTGGTAGGAGATATCGGCCGGTAAACGGTCCGCAAAATTGAATGGATACGTCTGTATGTAGCTCCCTCCAGAGTAGAAGAAATTGGGTTTAATTATGGTCGAGTTTGCTGAAAGTGAACAGAAATAAGAGTAATACGTCTAGTAAAAAAGAAGCACTTAGGATATGTGTAAAAATGCGCTGTTAAAATGCATATTTAACGACATGCACGCACGCACTCTCTCCTTCTCTCTCTCTCTCTCTATAAAGCAGTGGATCGGATATTATTCCGTCCATTCTGTTACATCCACTTGTATCCTTTATTTATGTGTACTACAACTGCAAGATTGAGTAGAATTATTCTTCAATTGGAGAATTAATAACAGGAGCCAACCACAGCCTTTCCGTGCACCATATTTAGTCTCTAAGCATGTCTAAAGAATAATTCTCACAATGAAAAACTCTCACTTATAGTACATGTATGCTGCAAGTCGACCGAGAACACTGACATCACAATCAATAATGAACAATTTTAATTATTCAAAAATGGCTGAAAACTGACCGGTACAGCTGGTGCCATTTTGCGTCCAGCCGACTGCACAGAGACACCTGGTGGCGCCCATGGGCTGGGAGACACACATGTGATCACAACCTCTTTGGGGGCAGCTCGCTGGAATAGAAATCTTGATTTATAATGTAAACATACGAGAAGAAATGTTATTTATTGCTTTTTCGGCTTTATAACTTCATTTGAGTATTTTCAGGTTTATATTCTTTTGCGGAACTTGGAGCCTGATTACAATGACAATACAGACAATTTAGATAAAGTAAACCGTTTGTTACCTCATTGTCATTAAGTTACGTAGGGCATACGTCACTAATCTCTGAAATGGGAAAAGTCCTGTCTTGTCCTGGTTACACGGTGACCTCTATTGTTTTTATTGGTAGTGATTTATGGTTAAATGTAGTTAATTTGGTGTAATTGTGAATAATACACATGACATGTGTCTATGTAACCATCCACCAAATATAAACTATTCCGTATATTATAAAGCCAATAAATTGGCATATTAGTTATGGCAATAATGTTCCTGTTGCCGTAAGTTTACAAATATGCTAAAGGGTTCAACTGCCTTCCCACACTGAACTGATCCTAATGAAACAACTGAAACAACAACAGATGGCACAGGCCTATTCCGATTCAACTTAACTGGAAACTCGACTCAATTTTCTTGTTACTTACAAGTTCCTGCCTGTTGGACATCCGGGGCGTACACTCCAATGGCGTAGGGCGTGACGGAGGTGTTCAACTTCATGACGTAAGCACTTGGGTTAACTGAATCGTTTCTCAGAACTATGGTGACGTTGGAGTTCTGGTCCGTGACATAGAGAAATTGCTGAAGCAAGCAAAAGAAGTTATGGTGTTGTACAGCTGAGCATTGCGACTGAGATATTTATTAATGTTAAATACAATATTAATGTTAAATATTATAGAAAAAACGATCAAATCAACAGTAGATGGTGTTGATAATGGTCTACCAACCGAAATTGCCTACATTAAACATGTTAAGAAGTACAGAGTCCTTAGACTTGGAGTCAGCTAGACAATGCAATTCCTAACATACCCTTGCTGAGCCAGTTTAATTTATAACACCAAAAGAAAACGCCATATGTTCTTTTCCATGGTAAACATTAAACTACACCATTTAAGATATGCCAGAAATTTTGCCAAACCCATCTTGCTATTGTCATGAGTTAATACATGAGCATATACCTTACAAACCTTACATATAACTTAACGATTCAGTCCCCTTTTAAGCGGCGATATAATAATGCGTTGATAAGACACAGGCTCGTCTTGCAATATATGACATCACATGACGTCGATGACGTCATATTATTTAGACACAGGCTCACCTTGTAAGCGGCGATGTCATACAGCTTCGAGCCAGGCTCACTATACACGGTGCGTCTTGCGCTTCCGTCGATCTTCATGGCTTCCACCGTCCCCCGGGCGGCGTCAACCCAGTACAGCTGCTCCGTGGCGTAATCCAACGTTAGCCCTCGAGGCTTCGTGATGTTAAATTTGGCCAGCGTGATACGCTCCGCCCCAGACAACGTAGCTCGCTCTATCGTCCCGCTGGAGTTGTATGAGGCCCAGTACATGTACCTGGAAATAAAAGAGGTCAACATGCGGCCACGTGGTCATGTTTTCTGCACCAATTGCAATTGCCTTTTCTTTCATAGGTCAAGGCGAATTCATTCAATGCACTGTACCCAATCGGAATTTTATGATAATTTTTTTATGTAGGTCGGCCGAGCTAAATTCACTACAAATTCTGGTTTATACAAGTCTTTTCGCTTAACCCTGGATCTCTGTTTTATAAGTCGCTTAATGCTTTATAAAACTTTTCAACTGCACCCCTTTTAAATGATCATGACGCCAAGGATAACGTACCGTAACTGCCGTGCACTATATTGACACGCCATTACACTGCAATGGTCACTCAATGTCAAACCAACTTCTATCTGAATATATAAGATACCACTAGACGCACTCACCCTTTCTGAGGGTAGACCGCAATTCCTCCGAATTCCCGTGGCGAATTATTTGAAATCACCACAGCCGTTTTGTTACTTCCGTGGACTTCTTCGGACGGTTTGGCCATAGGAGCCATTGCTATCCAGTTATAGACAGAGTCGGTCCAGTAGACGTTGTTGGCTATCCAGTCCACAGCTAAGCCGCCCACGTCTTCGGACATACCTTACCATGAGATGAAATACACGCTTTAAGTCAATTGACTGCTAGTAAAATTATATATATATATATATATATATATATATATATATATATATATTGATATTGATATTGATATTGATATCTGCTTGGTAAAGGTATCGTCCAAAGATCGTAATTTTTGTAACATCATAATATGTATGAAGCTGCCATGTTTAACGCCATGTACATGTAGGACCGGACTGACTAACCTGATTTTAGTTTACAGCGAATCGGACTCTACAGTACATGTATTTTACTTACTATTTCAGCTATTTTAAATTGTGACTTTGATTTGTACGAGTGATTATTGTTAATATCATCATTGATTTGCTTTGGCTATTGTATCTAAGCAACAGATAGATAGATAGATAGATTTACCTATATAGTCCACAAGAGGGGCACTTAATAAATCTGGATTCATGAGGTTCGCCTGAGTGATCGGAATATGGCCGACATGTCTGCCGATGTCGTAGCCACCGATGTCCACGTAGAATCCCTTCTCGTCCACGTAGTCGAAGCTGAAATGAGTAACAAAACCGTTCTCCGGAAGGTTGATCGTCATAATGAGCGGGGTCGACCCGCCTGCGCTCCACACGGAGGGGTCACCGATCGCTGTGGCCAGCCGATGGACGGAGGCGTTCTTAACTGACCATGTCAGGAGGGTCAGTGAAGCTGCAACGAGAAGTGTTCATATATAGTTTAAGTTGAGTCGGCGAATATTCTACTTGTTTATGTAGTCTTATTTCCTTCATTATTATAACCATGTATTATAATCATAATTTATCCATTTACATTTCTCTTATTCATATCTATCGTTACTTATATTTCTACTGTATGCTGTTTTATTTATCTATTTTTATTTATTTTTAATGAAATACTCGTTAAATGAATTGAGGAAAGTGCGAGTTTTTTATGTGGTGAAATACTTTTGGTCTCTGAAACGTAAAAATATACGGATACATTTCCCCTCTGGTAACAGAGCGTGATATTTATATAATACAAATAGGTTGGACAATCAGATATACTATTATCTTACAGGATATTAAGCTTAAACCAATAGAAAAGCAAAAGGAATTGTACTTCAGACGAGGTTCAGGCATACCCATGGATTTAACCAATCAGACGTGCCATCTGTTGTGCACTGTCGTGCCATCTATCGGACATTCACATGTTTCACTATGAACGAAACCAATCCCCATGCAATCATCAGGATTCAAATCCATTTTTGAACAAACGTGAACTATCAGAACTTATAAAGGGAAGCTTATTACAAACAAGAACTATATAAAAAGCCCTGAAAGCGGATACCAGCAGCAATTTAACGTTTTTTTTTTATCAGCCCATCACAAGGACAGCACCTTCCAAGCTTTTGAGCCACTGTTTATACAACATTGGTCAAAAAGGTTGTCCCATCCCCATTTCCATGTACTTTTATTTACAACTGATCACCTCACAGCTGTAAATTGTTAGAAATAGTGCTTTTTATTACAGATACTGTGTATAACATGATTAAAGGTTAAAAAATACAAAATAGTGATGAAAATATACACATTTTATACAATTTAGTAAATTTTATAAGAGGTACCCCCTCAAATCCATCGTTTTACTGTGACTTCTACAGATGTTAAGAAATGTCTATTAAATTAAAAAGACGCCATCAAATGTCACCAAATTCACACACAATTAGCATTAGGGCTTGCTCGTTAAAGGTCACGTGCCTAACAGCGCGTGCGTCTACCGCGTACTGCATTTATCTCCTGTAGACGGCGCGGCAAGCCTTCAACACGGGTAACAATCCTGTTTTGTGGGATTTTGTCCCATTCTTCTTAAATAAGTTGGGGGAGTTGGTCCACGCTTTTTTTTTTTTTTTTTTTTTTGGGGGGGGGGGTTTCTCCTTTGCATTGCACACTCCAATTCATGTCACAGTTGATTAGTAAATTTAATATCAGGGCTCAAAGATGGTGTTTTTCTTCAACAAACACTTGCCGTGTAGTCACGATGAAGCCTGGAGTAAACCCCAAAAGTTAGTTCTTGAAGATAGAGTGAGATATCAGCTGAGAATGCTACATTCAGTGAACCCCCAGGCACTTGAACCTGGCCATCCATCACTGGAAGGAAGTCGGTTTTGATGCAGAATCAAATTATTTCTTGTATCCCATCGATGGTCCAATGAGGGTCCATAGACATGTTAAAAAATGCCTCTTGGAAGGCTGTGTGTAGGATAATATCGCTTGAGGTGTTAGATCAGTCCGCATTTGGAGAACATTCCAAGCCCATGGTATTAGTACATTGTTCCTTTTGGAACAAAACGTAACTGGGGCATTTTACTGTAACATTCTCAACAGAAATCTCACTCCATTGGCAAGAAGTGACTTCATGGATGCTACTGGTTTCATTGTGACAACGCACTTTCTCACAGCTCTCGTCTGGCAAGCAAAAACACAGGACTCTTAGGATGGGACAACCGTATTTGAGCCCTGATAATAATCCTACTGAACACCTGTGGCATTAATTGGAATGTGCACTGCAGAGAAGAACCAATTCCCAAGTAATCTGTACCAGGGACAATATCCCACAAAACGGAATTGTTACCCGTGTTGAAGGCTTGTCGCGCCATCTACAGGAGATTATTGCAGTACGCGGTAGACGCACGCGCTGTTAGGCACGTGACCTTTAACGAGCACACCCTAATGCTAATTGTGTGTGAATTTGGTGACATTTGATGGCGTCTTTTCAATTTAATAGACATTTCTTTACATCTGTAGAAGTCACAGTAAAACGGTGGCTTTGAGGGGTTACCTCTTATAAATTTTACAAAATGGTATAAAATGTGTATATTTTCAGCACTATTTTGTATTTTCTAAACCTTTAATCATGTTAGACACGTTATCTGTAATAAAAAGCACTATTTCTAACAATTTACAGCTGTGAGGTGATCATTTGTAAATAAAAGTACATGGAAATGAGGGTGGGACAACCTTTTTGACCAATGCTGTATACTACTACACGCAAGATGTACATTACAAAAATAACATATCTCCAAATCCTGTAACCATTACGCTCATTTTGATCCAAACCAAATGATCAAAGCGTCAATATGCAACACTCCGCCTGCGGGTTGAGCTATTTTGTCCCCTCAGTTTTTGCCCTGTGTCTGTCTTTGAAGTTGTTTACTTTTTATAACAGTTTAAGGACATCTCTAAACCCAGACAAACATGTTTGTTAAAGAGAACTGTTTCAATTTCGAAATCTCAAAACATTGTAAACTTCGGCGACCAAATTCCAGGTGCGACATACCAGTACACTTTTCTTCAAAAACAGACTATAGTACTGAGCATTTCATTTCAGACAACAAAAACATTCTTATACAATAAGTTATTTTCAGACATGACCCGCTCCGTCTTTTCAGCTCATGGGTCCCAGTCAGCGTTTCGTTGTCAATAACAGTATTTACTTTTGGATACAAAGGTACCCTGGATTCGTGCCTGATGACAACGTGTTATATAAAGACACTTGGCTGCATGTGGTAAATAAGGACCATCTCGACGCGTGGGGTCAAGTACCTGAACGCCTTTACTGATTTAACCGTCACAGCGGTTTAAAATGCAGTCATAATCTATCCCTTGGACGATTCGTTTTATCCGCCTAAGCTTATTCCAACCAAAACGGTTTTGTTTTGTCTATCTAGCTATTTGTAGCCATCTGACAAACGAAAAAACCGATCCTAATTTCGATCTTCGTTATCTGATTGGTAGCGCATGGACTGGGCAGTTCTTCGGTAACAAGAGACGCTTTCGTATCCTGTCGTTTACACGATTTAGGCCTAAAGGATCTACAGTAGTATTTCAGCCAAAAGTCATATGTCTAAATAGGTGCATGATAAATTGTTGCGGTTATGCGCGTTTGACACAATTAGTTTCACTTGTTTACTCGCCTATCAGATTCTGAGGTACTTTGAACACTTTTATTGTAGCATGTTTAAAGGATGTGGCCATTTCGTCAAAATATTGCTTCCTACTGTATAGGCCTATTGCTACATGCATGGGTGTACCGCCCCCCTCCCACCCCCTGGCCCGCTGCATCTCCACGTCCATATCTAATTTTGCCCTCTGAGACCAGGGACTAGTAAAATAGTATCCAATATGGAAGTATTGGCGCTACAATTATATTGTAACAGACTACTAGGGCGCCCATTGGTCAGAGAGTAATCTAACATGCCCTTTACAATAAACGTGTTTATAATGAGCACAACAGGGCAAATTAGATAATTACATATCCTGAAATATATCGTTGTGAAATACTGCACGGTCGAACCCATTTCTGTTTAACCCGAGGCGCATGTTCTCATTTCACACGGTTTACTACCCCCTGGAAAGAAAGCCAATTCAAACCAAGGGCCCCCAAAAAGTAACCAATTTAAACTTGCTTTTTTAAATTGTAATCTATTCTTTTATATCGAGTTGCATGCAACTGTCACCATAACGCTCATTTTGCATATCATTACATATGAATACTATCGGCTATTAGACACACTCTGGGAGCATGTGTTGCCGAAGGCTATAGTGTCTCTTGTTCACGCATTGATTGTGTGCAGTCAACTATGGATGACACCTTAATGTGACAATTTCTCGCAAGTAGTGTCACATCATTTGCCTCTGTGGGCCATGCTCTACAGGGAGTTGAGGTTATTTGACCAAGAAAAGTTTGCATACTTTGAATAACTTTTCTTAACTGTTTTGACTTTGGCCCATAGTACGCACCTGTGAAAGAGCATTGTTTCCCTTTTTTGCAAGCATAGAAGAGTTGCATATGTATTTGATAATGTTACGATGACATCGGCCTAGAAATGGGAGTAAGTTTTGCTAAAATATTTGTGACAAATAATATAAAGATAAGTTCTTTGCAGCGATATATGACTACCACACAACAGGCGGATTATAAACATCTAAAATGAATCCAATACCTTCTGCAAAGTTAGCCTGTCTACATTTCTATGTTTTGAATATATTTTCTATTTATTTATTTATTATTTTGAACAGAATCTGCTACTCTATTTTGGTAAAGGGGTCCCTGTCACCACCCCCCCCCACACACACACAAACACATACACACCGCATGCACACACACACACACACACCCACACACACACACACACATTCACACACACAAACCTGGCAATGCGTATAGATAAGGAGAGAAACATGAAAATAATTTTAAAATTACTCCTCGTTACAGCTTCTATTCACTTCTGTACAAGTGGCGTATATAGCCCATCTAACACCGTGTAATTATATAATGATTGCTGGATACTTTGTTATAGACAGTCATGAATGAAAATAATCACTGGTGACATTGTGACATAACAACAATGGCACAAACCGCAACCAGGCACAATAAGGAAACATGAAGATAATGACAGATAATCCCACCTCATACTCGGATTTTTTTTTTTTTTTTTTTGACTTAACTGTTTTGTTGATATTTGATTTTTACTGTTGGGCAGGCTAAAGCTTTTTAAAGTTTTTCTTCGGTAAATTTTTTTAATGCTGTATGTCTATTGCCCATCACTCATCTGTGTCGTCTGTATGTGAATGCCATCTACATCTGACGCTTTTGACTGTCATTGAAGTTTTCTGTCTTTACAAACAGCGACACAGGTTCACAATTGAAGG